TTCTCTAAACTCCCAAAAATATGTTTCATAAATATATTTATTCCATAACCAATATAAGTTCAATCAATCTAAAAAAACATATTTTTCAAATTTCTTAAATAAACCGAAATCGGCCAACTTCACCATATATCCTTTTTTAAAGCTAAACCAAAAATAAACCAAAAAACAATCGATTTCAATTTTAAAATAAACCATTCCGCTCCTCTAAAAGATTCTTTCTTATTCCTCTATAAATCTTTCAGCCAAAACAAACCCATATAATATATCCAAAAATCAAACCAAAACAACGACCAAAATATTTTCGGACTTCATATCCCGATAACGTATATCAACAATCTCTATCTCTAAATTATTCATAATTAAATCAATCCAACCCATATAATTTAAAACATAAAATATTAAACCTTATTCATAAATATTATACACATCTAAACACAATATTAAATTCATAACAATTAACCTACGCATCTCCCCATCCGTAGCCGTTGAACGAAGTCGTTGTGTCTTCCAGATAAAGAGTCGGGGCATATATCTGCCTGTCCGTAGCAATTTTGGCTGAACTCTTGGCCCATCTTCCGAGAGTTTGGCGATGCGAGAAGCTGTGAGCCGCGGCCGATTGTTGCGACCAGTGGTGTTTTTCCCTATGCTTTGGGCGAAACCAGTTCGGCTTTGCTTGCGCCCAGGATGTTTTCTGGTCGATCGCGTTTTCGCTTGCGCTTGCAACAACTGCGTGTGTGGATGGATCTTTCGAGGCCAACAGCCCGCGGATCCGTTCTCACCTTCCTCAGGCGACCGCCCTTCACTGACTCTTTGGCGTGACCTTATCGCGACCAGCCCGGCCCTCAGTGCGTCTCGCGACCTGTGCTTGGAGAACGGCAGCATGCTTTTCGCATGCGACGAGTATACATTTTTTGATACGTATGAGATTATAAAATATGTTGGTGCCTGAGTTGCAAAAAATGTCTTGCCGGCGCGGGCGCAGAAATATCTGGACCAAGGCCCCGGAGAGCTTGGCCCTTTTTTGGCACCCGCCTCAACGTACCCCTAATTGCTGGCTTGGATTGGTGGTTTGGGGATTGAACCCCTGGATGATGTTGAAGTTGAATGGGAAACCACCCCCTAACCTCCAAAACACCGACCCAAACTACCAATCCAAACCGGGCCGGAACCACCTCCTGGCCGCGGGAGCGGCGGGGCAGCGCCGAGACAAGCGCGTGACAAACCGTTTCCCACTGGCTCGCTCCACTGGGCGAGGGCGCCAGGGGACAAGCGGCCAGCGGCCGCGTGGAACTGGGGCACGCGCAGCACGCGCGTTCTTGCAGCCCGTCTGCATCACGGCTCTCGGGCTCGGAGTCGGACGCGTGCACGTGCGCAGGCGAAGCCTGTGGCATGTCGACATCAGAATCCGGCGCGCTGCGCGCCGCACATGTGTCTTTTTGTCTCTGTCTCTCTTTCGGTGTCTTTCTCTGTCTCTCTGTTTCTTTGTCTGTCTGTCTGTCTGTCTGTGTCTGTCTGTCTGTGTCTGTTTGTGTCTGTGTCTGTCTGTCTGTGTCTGTGTCTGTTTGTGTCTGTGTCTGTGTCGCTGTGTCGCTGTGTCTCTGTGTCTCTGTGTCTCTGTGTCTCTGTGTCTCTGTGTCTCTGTGTCTCTGTGTCTCTGTGTCTCTGTGTCTCTGTGTCTCTGTGTCTCTGTGTCTCTGTGTCTGTGTGTCTGTGTCTGTGTCTGTCTGTCTGTGTGTCTGTGTCTGTGTCTGTGTCTGTGTGTCTGTGTTTGTGTGTCTGCTGTGTTTGTGTCTGTGTTTGTCTTTGTCTTTGTGTTTGTTTTTGTCTTTGTTTGTGTCTTTGTCTCTGTCTTTTTGTTTGTCTGTTTGTCTGTTTGTTTGTTTGTTTGGTTGTTTGGTTGTTTGTTTGTTTTATTTGTTTATGAATTAGTTAATAGATATATGCCTAGACTCTTGATCTAGTAGACATAACGACTTCGCTCAAAGCCCGGACCATTTTTCCCGAAATATCCCGGATATTTCGATAGTCGCATTCCAGACCATTTTTCCGAAATATTCCGGATATTTCGACGATAGCATTTCCCGAAATATTTGGAATATTTCGGGAAAATGGTCCCCGAAATATTCGGAATATTTTGAGAAAATGGTGGATGGCTGCGATTCCCGGACCGCTTTCCCGAAATATCTGGAATATTTCGGGAAATTGGTCCCTATAAGAAATGAAGCCACTATGTCTTCCGCATATATGCCGGGGTAGCCCGGACAGATTTGGGCAAACGGTCCGTAGGAAATATGAAGCTGTTACATCTTCCAGGGGTAGTCCAGACCAATTTTCCGAAATATCCGGGAATTTTCGGAAAAGCGGTCCGGGAAAACGCGCGCAAGTGCGACGAGCAAGTTTCACGGTTTCGTTTTATAGAGTAAATAAAATAAAACAATGAAAATATATAAATCGATATATATAAATATATCCAAGGTCGTTTTCTTTTTTTATGTGCACCGGCAAATCGTTATAATATTATTCCGAATATTTACAACGAGTAGTTATTGTCGTTTCTTCACACGAGCCGGAAGAAATTTTCCGGGTGTTGATAACAATTTTGCTTAGAGTGCGTAATTCGATTAAATTTTCCCGAATTTTGGCGATGCAATGCTTAGGTTATTGGACGTTACCCCCGCAATTTTCTTTAGAATTGATAGAAATGTTTATGCATATCTGTCTCTAGTTTTATTTTTTTGGTTGTCTGGTTTTATTTTTGTGGGTCGATTCACAAAAAGGATATATTTCCATATTGTCGCATGCCGCATCTTCCCCTTTCCAATTCTTTTTGATTATTTCTACCATTATTTCTCTTCTTTCTTTCTATATCTCTTTTTCTCTTTATCTTTCTCTTTTTCTCGTTTTCTCTTTTTCTCTCTGTCTCTCTTTTTCTCTCTTTTTCTCTCTCTCTCTCTTTCTCTCTCTCTCTCTCTCTTTTTTTTCTATATTGGTTTTCGTATTTTCTTTTTTTGTTGTCTTCTATTTGTTTCTTTTTTTTCTCTCTGTCTGTTTTGTGTTTTTCTTTCCTCTTTGATTTTTTTTTAGTAGTGTCGTTGATAGAATTAATGGGTTTTCTCTAATATTATAATAATTAGAAAAAATATAATATTTTAAATTGAAATTACAATATATTATGTTTTATGTTTATATATATATATATGAAATATTATGATTTATATATGTTATTTTATATCTTGGAATTAATTATATAAGAAATATATAGTATTAGGTATTAATTAATATATATTGAATTAATTTAAATAATAAATAACTATAAATATATATAATTAATAATCGATATATATTATTGTTTAAGTTGGTTCTTCTTTTTTTAATCTAAATAATTTTAAAATGTATAATATATTTTCTAATCCCAACTAAATTAAATATTATATTCTTTCAATAATTATATATTTATTATTAGTTTTTTTCCTAAATTAAATATATTATATATATATATATATTAAAAAACAATATCATTCCATCAATTTATATATACATATATATATTCAATTAGTTAATACAAATACACAATTATTTAAAAATACAATTTTCTATAAACAATATTAAATTTCCAAAAAATATTTAAATAATTATCAATAATAATCTCCAATTATCCAAATAACAATAAAATAAAATAACTCTAATTAAAACAACAAATATCAATTAATTTATTCATAAAATACCTATAATCTATCATTATTCATTATATATTATAACAAAATTAATAACAATCAAATAACAACAATAAATATACAAATCTATTTTATTCTATCATCGCATATATCACCCTATATCCTCCCCCCCTCCCAAAATAATAATAAATCATGACAATTATATCATCCCATATTCCCCCCTATCATTCCCAATATTATATCATGCATATATATATATATCATCCCATATCATCACATCACCCCCATTTTTTACTATTTCAATATCATATATTCATTATAAATAGCGAATCTATTATCATTCATTCTATTTCGGAACCATTATCAAATACCCAAAAAATCCATACTAACATATATAATTCCAAGACAATAAATCGATATTACATTTTCAAAATCATATATAAATTAAACAAAGAACAAACAAATATATATAATTAATTATAGATCAAAAAAAATATAATTTTACTATTCAATATTATTCTTCAATCTTCAAAATATCAATTCTAAATCATTTATTATATTCTAAAAATAAAATAAGAATATCAAAATAATGAATAAATCAAAATTTATAAATATAATATAACATCCATAAATATCATATCTATTCCAAACCAATATCGAATTCATTCCCTATGTATTATATCATCTATTCAAAGAGAAAATCCAACCGAATATCAACTAGTATTTCATCAATATCATAAATCAATTATCTCAAATAAATCGTCCAACATAATATTATCAACCATAATCTCAAACAAAGCGAAATCGACCAATCAACAATTCATAATGTTAATATGTTGAATATATAATAATTATACAAACACATACAATTATACCACATATGTATACATATATATGTCTGCAATAACATTAATAGATGATAATTTTGATAAATCAAGTACATCATAATTAAATAATAATTAATTCATCTTTAAAATCAAATTTCCAACCTTATTGCTACATACACGGTGTACGCTCTTATATTTGCACCACTTATAACACTTTTACTTATAATGGAAGCCTTGCCCCTGCCCCCCTCCCCCCTCCCCCCGGGGGTAGCCCAAGGGGCTCCAAGCCCGATCTGTAAAAAAAAGAAATAAATCGCACCACACATCGCAAACACTTCTGCCACTTACGATCTATCCGTGCAATTGTTCAACGCTTCAGTGATTCAGTGGGGCGGTGATCATGAATTTCAATGAATTGCCATCAACTGCCTGTTTGCCGCCCTTGCCAAGGCAAAGCTCCCACTGATTTACAAAGGCGTGAATCGATTGATGACGCGAGTCAGGCTATCATCTCACTGTTGCTCAGCTGGGTCAGCAGTGCCTGCCAAGAACACTCTGAAGAATAAGGTCAGCCGCTACTTGTCGAAACGTGATCCCTTTCCCTGCCAGGCCAGAATGAACCGTCTCAAGAAAAACGGTCATCCAACGCTTATTTCGTTTGCACAGGAGCCATCCGCCCCAAGATCTCAAGCGCACCTGAGGTAGAAGAGAGCCAACCAGGCCAGCCAAGGTAAAGGTGAATCCAGGATTTCGGCCTGGCGCGCATGCCATGAGAATTGGAGACGCGGTGGCTCGCAAAAAACGAACTTCAGGCCTTGATTCTCCAGTGCAGCATACACCTGCCGTGCACGCAGCAATACACCCGATCACCTGCCACACACCAACAGTGTTGCCTGTCCGTACATCACGGGAGCAACAGCCCCAGCGACAGCTCTCAAGTTGTTCACCTTAGGCGACTTGCCTCTCTGACTCTTTTCACCAAGAACTGGGAGCAGTGCCCAAGCTGAGAACTCGCCTTTGCCAAATCCCTAGCGAGCGGGAGCCGGCATGGAGGGTGTTGGCGCGAATGCTTGGCAATGCCAGGCCTTCCAAAAAACGATTTCACAGGCCAGCAATCATTGGATTAAAGAAAAATAAATGCGACTTCTCAGGGGAGGCTCCCAGAAGTGGAAAAAAAACCACCCCCCTCCATCTCTGCGGCTTTGCGCAGAAAGCAAAGCGGAGCGGCGTGGCGCCTCTTTGGTGGCCAGGTCTTGGGCAACTGCCTTCAGTGCTGTTGCGCTGGCCCCGTTGACTCCTGGCAGCATGGGGACCTGGGCAAGGCAACTCCGAATCGCTGCAAAGGGTTTTCGCATAGCCCCAGTGAACATCCCAATCCCCACCAAAATAGATTAAAATGGGTGGTGCACCTACCCCAAAATGGTACCATTGGTGTTGACCCACGGTCTGAGTTTGCGGCCATGGCTGCCAGAAAGAGCCAGGAGCGGGGCGCCAAGCCGCGCAAGCTGAAGCCCAACAGGTTCAGCAGATTGGTCGTGGTGGTGAATCCTGGCATCCGTCTCCGCGCGCGGCTCAGCTGCGATGTCCGATTTCTTCATCCACCCAGCGCGGATGGCAAAAGCATGCGGCACCTCTTGGACTCAGGTTTTTCAGCATCCAGGGGGTGGCTGACATGCCAGTTATCCTCAGATCTCCCACAAGCTGCAGAAGCCAGCCACTGACCGATGACATCGCCCATTCGGCACAAACGGGCGTGCTGCATTGCTTCACCCAAGGCACGTGCAAAGAAGTCCATACCTGAGTGGCACGCGAGAGTGAACGCTGGTTGCCACCGCAATTCAAACATGGTGGTGTGTTTTAGGAAGAGCACCCTTCTCAGGTTGCAAAGGAAAGTTCCTCTTGTGTGGGTTCGCGGTCCCAGTTTGATACGTACCCATACCTCAGCGTCCGACCCAACCATAAAATTCCTCACCTCAGCTTCAAAAGGCAGTCGCCTTTTTCCTCGGGCAATTCGTTGCTAGCTGGCCTGATTCACGGACCACTGCAGCTTATCGCGGATCCAAGTCTGACCGGCGGGGCAGGACTACGAACTGCCAACGCCATTGCAACGGGAATTCAGAAGCTTCCTTTGCAATGATCTGACGCTCATCCTTCACATGGCACAATCGCCCGCCTGGATCGCATCACTCAGATTTTTGCCCTCCAAGAACCTGCCATGCCCCGGGCCCATCTCGTGCGCTAAAAGGACGTGGGGCCAAGGGGCATCTGCAACGTGGTGATGACGACTAGCTTCCGGAGAGCCTGCAGCCAACAGCTTCCATGAGATCCGCAAGCAAAGTTCCCAAGTGCAGCAAAAAGTCCTTGAGAAATCATCTGTGTGTGGGTCAAAAATAAGTACCCAAAATGGAACCCCGGTAAATGGAAACAAAGACTAAAACCCGCAGTCTCCCGGTGGGTTAATTTTGACCCATACCCATCTCTTTCTCGCCTTGGTCCCTTCCGTGAATACTCGCACAAATCCCAGCGGATTGATCCTTGGGAAACCGGTCCGAAAGGACGCCCTAAAGACTCGTTCGTTCGAAGAACGGTACTTTCTGGTGATGAGTTTGGGCGGGAATCAGAGAGGCAGTCATTAACAACCTTCCCCATTCTTTCCAGGCATCCTTCTTTGCAGAGAAAAGACAAAAACAACAAACAAGGAAACAGCTGGTTTTGAAAAGAATGATGGTTGAAAAGAATGGTTGGAATCAACCCCTAGACTTATGGGTCTTGACCTAAGCCTTTGCATCACCAATACGTGCAGCAAGGGCTCATTGCCAAGCTCAGTGGGGCAGTAGATCGCTTGGCAACGTCTAAGGTCTCCTGACAAATCCCACCTTGCAAGTTGCAAGTCATGAGAACTCTCGATCAGCAAGCGGAACCGCTTTCTGGGGTGCATGGTGTCGTGGATCTCTCTCTCTCTCTCTCTCTCGTGCTATCCCAGGTCCCAAATTAGGAGCACTCTTGACGCAAAACAATGATGTCATTGTTGGGTTGGCAAACCCCTTGTTCAATGTCGATCTCCTCCAGCTGTGTCGCCACGAAGGCTGCATGGGTCGCAGCAATAGCGGCCATGGCCTACGCTCCCAAATTGGTGCTGACCGCAAGGCTGGCGGCATAAGAGCAGGCGAGTGACAGCATATACATACCTGATGCCCTTTGGCGACCATGGGGAGATGTTGAGAATCCTGCCGCGTTAGCTGCGAATCGTGCCAAGCGGGGGAAGGGCAATGCTGGAGAGGCATGTCCTACCCTCAATGAACGGCGTGAGCAGCATTGCCATACCTGTGCCGCACCAATATGTTGCAGGACCTTCATCGTTCAAATCCTTTTGCAGCGCACCAGTTGCAGCCTGCACCTTTGACATGGCCAGGGCAAGTTCGCTGCTGGAGCAAACCTCCAGTGCAACGATCGACACGTCGGACCTAATGTCCAGAACCGGCATTGCACAAAGGAACAAGAGAAGCTCAACCAAGCGACATCCGCCAATGCAGCAGTACACATGACCGTGTTGGAGAAGGTGGTCAATATCCTGAGCGTTACATGGCGGGATCACGTTCTATCTGCGAGCGGAGGGGTGGCCCAAATTTTGGCCCTAGAAAGGGAAAACAAAAAGATGTGTTTTTGCCAATGTTCGCCGCTGTTCTGCCAATTGCCAAAGTCTGCACGTCTAAATTTGTGAAACACTCTTGCCACTTCCCCCTTTGCCATTCAAACATTGGGAATGGGACAGCGCTGGCACATCCGGATGCATGTTTGCACATTCAAGTCAACAAGGAAGCAACAAACAGTTGAAGCACGTGGCATCCGTCATCAGATTGGAACAGTCCGCTGACCAGAAGCAGAATGAGTATGCTGCTCAGTGGGGACCAAATCGCCGTGCAAGAACTGCTCCAAGGAGGACTGGTATTTGCACCATCTTTTTCAATAATATGTGTGGGACAAACGCACGATACGAGTCGTACGCGATGCGTGGCCCCCGAATTCATCGCGGAATCCTTTGTTCCAGGGCATCGCCGCAGCTCTGAGGCGTTGTGGCGCGACCTGTTGTAAGTTGTGTAGAAGTCTACCGCCAAACCAGAATCCTCACATGCAGCATGCAGCATGCGCAACATGTATTTGAGTTTCAGTCCCTCGCAAAGGAATCGAAGCCGGCGCAGGCTGCTAAGGCATGAATGGCGGACTGCATGAAATCCGAAGCTTTCTTGGACTAGCATGGCGATCTCTTTATTATAAGCCACTGTGCGCTGGCCAGTTAATCTTAAGAAAGCCGATCGGACGACTCGCACCAAGGGCGTTGACCATGTTGGAGCGGCTGGCATGTCCTATGCTTGAGCTAATACGCCATCCAGTGTTCTTGTCTTTGCGTGCTGCGCGCCAAGATGCCGCATTGCCAAATCAAACACCGCCTAGCTCAAACACAAGATGCCGAGGTGTGACTTCGGCCAGCTCCGCGTGGTCACTGGAGGAGGCTCCCCATAGCTTGCGCCGACTGAAGGGCCGGAGGCCCCCACTTTTTCAGCCGCCAGGTCCCCAAGCCCGACTTCCGGACTTCTGGTTCCCGTTTGGCTGTGGCTCAAAAAAGTGGTACCAAAATGGCACCTTGGTAAATGGAACCGAAGACTAAAACCTGCGTAACCGTAGCTCTTGAATTTTGAGCCACACCCATTTTCAGCCAAGAGTCACACGAAGGACGCGGCACACCGTGACGAGGGTTCGGTTCCAGGGGTTTCGAAAGACCAGCAGGCCCAGCACGATGTTGCCTGAGCTCTGGAGCCGGAACCACACGACTCCCGGCTCCCGCCCTGAGTTCCGAAGTTGGGCCAAGCGACTCAGAGGCCCGATCAGGAATCCAGGCTTTCGGCCTGGACTCACGAACTCGACTCAGTGCCAACCGACCTCAACCCATCGCCGCCTATGCAATCAGATAGCCTTCCGCCAGCTTGGTTCACCTTGCCACGCCGGGTTCCCCAACCAAGAACTCAAATATACTCGACCGCAGAAAGGCCGTGTTTCAAACTACCTCTTTTAAGATCCACTTAGGAGCAATCCGTGGGACGTACTGATCAGAAGGGTTCATTTGGAACGGATCCTCCAACCAGGGACCAACCTTGATTGATCTGGGCCTGGTTCAGAGGCCTTTCTGGGACTCTGAGCGTGACTTGGGCGGCGCTTCCTCTCCGAACTTCGATCTTGCCTAGGTCCTCCAGATTCGAGAGGATAGAATAAGAATTGGTACCAACTTTTCTTGGTGGTCTAGTTTAGTAGGGAACCCTCCCAAGCAAAAAAGAAGTGGGTGAGAGAGGGCACCTCGCTGACCTAGTTGCGACAGGGGGCGAGAAGGCTCAGCAAGCCCACGACTCCGGATGTGTTGCCCAGGATGCGCGAGGTGGCCGCGGAGTCCTGGCTCGGTCTCGCCGGACGGACGGAAAAAAAAAAAACGCCGCGCAGCGCACGTCTGGTTCTGGGCTTGCGGTCCAAACCGCCCGGCCTGATTGCAAAGGCTCAAGAACAGTCTGGGCTCAGACTGCGCGAAGATAAAGTGCTGCGACACCTGAGGCTTCACATGGCTCTGGCCTGCATGAATTCAACGTCGAACCACGCCAAGGTGCGCTGAATGCGGAGGAAACACAAATCCTCAGGCTCACACAAAATCCAAGGCCTCTCCTCCCTCAAGAAACGCACCAAATGTTTCAATATGTTCCCATTGCTTACCCTTCGGAGGGCAAACTGCTGACCTTTGACACGGGACACATGGGAACTCGTAGAGGTCCTCTCAGAATAGGCGGGGGTTCCTGTTTGGACGACCGACTGCCTGGAAAGGTCGCTCTGCCAGGGTGGGCTCGAGGGTGTTCCAACCAGTGCAGTTCAAAGCCCGAGAAAAAAACGCGGTGGCCAAATCGGACATGGGACATCTCGAGCTCGTCCCCGTGTCCGACCATGGACTGGATATGGTTGCGTCTCAAAATAAGCCAAAAACGGTGGCTTTCTGCGACTTTCCTTCTTTGGCCTTCCTTTCAAACCACTCCCAACAGGGCTCCAAGTGACCCCTGCAAGTAAGGCAACGGGGTCGGCTGCTCGGCCTTTGCAGAATGTCGCGGGTCCCAATCCCACCCAAGACCTCAGCCAAGGTGCCGCAACACCAGCTTTCTGCGCCGAACGAGCTGCTCTTCCTGATGGATGGGCGGCTCTTTGAGTTGGAACTCACGCCCTTCGTCGGAGAACTTCTTCTTTTTTGGGCTTGGGGTCGGCTTTCTACCAGGGTTTCACCGGATGTCCTTGAGAGGAAAAGGTTCTACTTGTGCTTGCTGGAGGTAAGCTTTTCACCTTTGAAAGAGAAAACGAGTTGGATCCCAATCCATGAGGTGAGACCGCTGGAGACCGCTACCATAAGACCGCGCAAGCGTCTGGCAGGAGTCGGGATTGCTTGGAAAAAAAAAACTGCATCACTTCTTTAACTCTAGCTTTTGCAAGGGACCCGGCATGTACAATTCAATCTGGGGCCCAATCAAAATCGTGAACGTTGGTTGCCTGGTGCTGGATTTGCCTCTCTTGGAGGTGGTCATTCCCGTATCCACGGTTGTTGCCTCTTAGGGAAGGAGACCTGTGCTGTTGAAGCACGCCATTTGGACGAATTGTTGATTTTTTGAGGATGAATGGTCTGGTTGATGCACTCATCTCCCTTCAGTGTCGATTTGGCTGAATTTGGGCTGACTGATTCGGGGTTGGCTTGGAGAAGGTCTAGAAGTTTACTGTTGAGGGTTTGTTGGTGGGATGCTTTGGTCAGGTTTTGGAGTGGGCTTAGATAAGTGTAGCCCGGTTTTGGTATTGAGGTAGATTTAGGGTTTTGGGTGGGTTTGGGCCTGACTTTGGGTTGAAGGCTTAGGCTTCGTTCGGGGTGGGTCAAGGGTTAGTTTAGGCTGCATTGCGGAGGGTGGGTTTAGGGTCGACGCACCGCGGAAAAGCTGCAAATGACATAACACAAACCTGAAAGACAACGCATCCTCAAAAGTAGTCTTCCGGATAAAACGTAGTCACTTCTACCGGGGTTCCCTAGAATCAACTGCCAAAAAGTCATAAGGCAAGGCCCACTCCAAAGCAGCGGCACTCCTCACTGCTCTTGGCGGGCTGCACGGACATTGCTGCGCTCGCTGGCGAAAGAAGCAGTACTGATCTGGAAGTGAATGTGGAATCTTGCTGTGCGCAGAGCTCAGCTCCGGGAACTCAGGGAACTCAGGGCCAGGAAGCAAGGCATGGCATGTTGAAACCGCCGCCTTCCATCCAATCTCTTGTTTCTTTCTTCCCCTCAAAGGTTGGGGCTACCCAACGGTTTGCTAAGCGGGTTTCCTCCATGTCCCTTTCTGGGGCCAAGTCTTGGTTGACGTTGGAAGGGGAGCAAACATTTGAATTTTAGCAGTTAAGTGGGGATTTCCCACTAAACCACAATAGGCAAACATGCAAAATGTTTCCCAACAACAACCGTAAAGTGATCTCCACATATGAGGAGCATATACTGCAATCCAACCAGATCCTTTTCTCCGAGCTGAAAGCTCCGGAAGGTACGATGCAGTGGGTACCCGGACTTCTCAGCCCTGGGAACCGCAAGGCACGCTGACAACTGCCAAGTGCAGGACCGTCAGAGTCATTGGCAACACTCTGCCTAGATTGGAACTGCCAAGTAAACCTGCGGCAGGACTTCAAGGATCACTTCGTGATGTCAAACTTGCTGTGACTTGTGGGGTGAAGCCGCAGGGCGGGGTTCCGAAAACCCGCCGCTTGGCCAACTAAAGGCCAAGCCCGTGAGTGCCTCACAGGTACTTGGCCACAAGCTTCTCAGACAGGGCCCACCTCACTTTCTCGGGAGTCAGCGGTTAACATGTGCAACTTCCCGACGCAAAGGAACAAGTTGTCACTTCTTTCAGAAGATTGAGTTGACTCTGTCTTAAAAACAAAACAAAAAGGCCCCTCTGAAGTTATTTAAAGGGTCCATGATGATTGGCAAATATCAACACCTAAATATGCTTCGGACTGTCCCTTACTATGCTTAACCTACCATGTCGGCTTTCATTGTGGCTTCAGGCAAGCCACAGCTTTTCCTCCAGCTCCTCCGTGGAAAATTTGGGGGAATCGCCGGACATGGCTTGGGGCCGATAGTACCTGAGCCGCATTTTTCCCTTTGCCAATCATGGAAGCGGACGAGGAGCCTTTGCAAGAGCATGGCGGTCTTCCAAACCCAAGGTTCCTAGAGGGCTGGCCGACCTTGGTGCAAGTCTACCAGGTTGACTGCAGCCAACTGGACCATCCAAGCGGCCAGCAACCAAGCGCGTACTGTTGCTACTGTGGTTGCCATCTGCCAGTGGCTTTTGGGGCATGCCAACAACTATCTGAGCCACTTGGTAATTCCAAGTGCTACCCCAGGTGGCGAGTGGAAAGTATTCAGCCCCACGAGATTTAACTTTGACAACGTACAAAGGTCCCTGGAGTCCCGTCAAGGTGCTGGCCGCGGATGTTCTGGCTCTCGATCTCAGGGGAGGTTGCCAAGTAGAGTTGGGTCACGGCACCTGCCGGTTCCAATGCGCACGATCACAAGTCTTAGCCCTCGGCATCACGCGCTTCTCACTGATCAAACCGAACCTCTCGGTGCTGGCAGCAGGACCATCTCCTCTAACATAGCTCTCATTGAGCAGTTTGGGGGCCAGCCAGCACCATGTCACCCTCATACCTCACATAGTAACTCTCAAACTCAGCAGTTTGGGGGCCAGCACCATGTCACCCTCACAGCTGATTTTCGTGACCTTCACGTTGAAAAGGCGAAACAGACCCTTCTGCCCGATGTCCACTGCTGGGCTCCGAGGAAATCGGGGAGACCTTTTGAGCCTGCGAACCTCTGCGCCCCGAACCCCGAACCCCGCCCCTCAGTGGCGAGAGGAAAATCAGCTCCTGCAGATTGCTCTGGAAGACGGACCTTATCCCATGGAAATCCCATGGATCAAAGAACCCAACACAAGAACCATGGTCGCCTTACCTTGCTTGCTGTTGACCATTGTTGACCCTACCAAAAGTGGGCCCACTTCTTTGTGGCTATTCGACCAAATAGCCACTGGTTGTGTATATATATATAGAGGTGGGCAAGGCCGCCGAGTGACTAGTCCGATATATCACTGCTGCCAGGCCGCGCCATTTGTCCAAAGCTCTGCTCAGATTCTTTCAGCACCTCGCCCATTCCAATGATCCCGCAACGTTCTTCTTATGGCACTTGACATCGCTTGAGTCACAATCAAAACCCGGTATTGAAATGGTCTGCCCAGAGCCATGTAAAGAATTAAGAAGGCGGCCGCAGCTATTTGTGGCTGGGTTTGTCCCTTACTAACCTTCATCTACCGGGTTTTGCTTGTGGCTCACTTGACATTTAACAAAACGTCTTCCCATAGGTGGCCTTTTCGAAAAATAGATGGCCCTGGTAAATGGAATAACCATCTAAACCAGGGCCCCCTATCTTTTGAGCAAACCAACCAACAAGGACACCTATGCTTCTTCCCTTGCTTCCGCGGTGCGTGCTTCGCTAGGTTGGTGTGGATGCCGCCGGGGTGGCACACGTTCGCGAAGATCTGCTTGTCCTTCAACCGCCGCGCCAGCGCGCGGGTGAACAATACCTCGGTGGCGAAATCTGCTGCCCTGCGAACAGCTTGACTAACTTCTAGTGGGCTTAATGCGGAAAACCCATTCGTGTGCAGCTGAAAGTTTGACTAACTGTTCGTGCTTTTGCAGGGAGCAAAAGTGGGAAAACCCAATAGCAGGGGAGCTCCCTGCTAATGGTTTAATGCGGAAGAACACCATTCGTTGGCCAAAAGTGAAAGTCCTAAGATCCCTTGGCAAACTGCAGCAAAGATACGTTGGCCAGCTTGGACCGGCCATAGGCCTTGAAGGGGCTGTAGGAATCCTCAGCTTGCCCGATGATCCATGTCCCCCATTCCTGCCTGACAATTCTGCGGCCCAGGCTTTGTAGTCCTCCCCTAGGTGCTCAAAGTCCACCGAGGGTGCAGAATCCACCAGCCCAGTGAACCTTGGGATTTCGCACATCCACGGGTAATGAGACCAAAACGCGAGAGGGGGAGGTGTCACCAGTGCAAACGCCCACCCTGCTTGATTGGCCCCGCTCGTGCGGTCGGAAGGTTTCACCGTGAAAACACCTGCCTCGCTTGCTTGGCCCCGCTGGTGCGGTCGCCTGTCTGCTTCTATATGTTTGTCTGTGGCATTGACCGCTCCATGCATCGGCCCAGCATCCCCATGCACGTCCAAGCCGGCCCAGCCCCAACCATCCAGACTTCCAAGCACCGAACCTGAACTTCAAACCGGGGCCCGCCGTGGACACGGGATGGGGTAAGCCCCATGCACATGCTTCCAACAAGGACCACATGTTTACCAAACATGTGCCAACCCAAAACTATCCAGCTTGGAGCTCTCAGCCAAAAAGGGGAAACCGTTGCCTCCAAAGTGCCCTGGCTGGGCCAATTCAATGGGGTGACCGAAGAACTTCAAGCTGTCCGTTCCACCCCCTTCAAAACAAGAAGCTACACATCAGGGGTCCCTCACTTGCTGAGTGGATGGCCCAACAAAAGTTCAAACTTGATATTTACCACCAAAATGGTCTTCGCAAAAAGTTTAAAGTCCATGAACTCAGGAAGTGAGGAGTCCAGAGCAAAGAGACTAACAACATGAGATCTGGACCCAAAAGGACGGGATTGGTGCTCAGATGCTCAGCGTGAGGGGTTTTCTTGTGCAACCCCTGGAGTGTTCTCGCTGACTTCCCTCAAACCCTTGCCCTTGACTCCATCAACAATCTGATTGTCAGGGACTCCGACAAATGGCAGAAACAAGCCAAACAGCGCAACAAACGCAAATCTTTGACCCCCCCCCCTTCCCCCCCCCGCCGCCGCCGCCCTGAAAAACCCGGCGCGAAGAAAAAAAGCCCGGGCAGGCACCCCCCTCCCCCGCCCTTTTCCCGCGCCCTGAAAAATCCGGCGCGCCCAAACAACGCCCCGGCTGAGGCGCTCCATCTTCGCCAACATCTCGGGGATGAAGGCCGCCGCCGAGCTGACCGTCACTACGCGGGAGGGCATAGAGGCCTCTCGGGTAGGCCGGACCTTTCGCACCAACCTCCTGCTCGATAAAGCTGAGAAAGCTCTCGGTTTCTTGATCCGTGTGCCCAACGACTGCAACGTCTGGAAAAACGAATATACTTCCAATGTCGTCATTCACTGGGTGTGTCCAACATCTTGTCCATTGTCTTTTCCTTCAAAAGGCTCACCGGGGCTCATAGGTCGAAACAAGCTTGGAACCCTCTCAAACCTCGAGCCGGGAGAAAAACAGGCAAGCACCAATACATACAGGCAATCATGCCCCGAACAATTGGAACTTCCGGCAATGATGCCAACACGGCAATGAATCGATACGACTCGTTATGTCTTATGTATGGGTCCCGGGAGAGCCCATGATCACAGCCAGCTACTTTTGCAGCCTTTGGCCAAGCCATAGGGCTTGGACATGGCTATGAATCTAGGATTGCATTGCGAATACATATGGATACCCTCCCAAATGAGTGGACATATTTCCCAGGATGTCCACCTGGGCCCCAGGAAAGATTCAAAGTGCACTGGGTTTGGAACCATCCCTTCGTTGTAAATCCAGGCGAAAATTACGCTGGAAGCAATATGAGCAGTGCCACAGCTGCAGTCACAAACCACGTTGAAGACTCTAGTTTAGCCGGGGTGACTTTTTCTTTCAGTGGGTGTTGAGCTTTACAGTGAGTTGTACAATCAGCCGGGCGGGTGACCATGGCCATGAGTGGCTACGCCGCACAGCAGTCAGAACCACAGTGCGGCAACAACCCCAAATCATGTAGGTAACCCAAAGGCAGCAAGGCAGCCTTTGTTTCTTTTCTCCTTGTTGATCACGTCCCATCGGTTTGCAGCTCGAATCCAAAACATTTCTTTTTTTCATGTGCGATTTTTTCGCCTCCAGCTTGGGCAGCAAAAGCTTGGTGAGCAGAAAATGGCCCAAGTGGTTGGTGGCAAACTGGCTCTCGTATCCGTCCACCGTCAGCTCGAAAGGGTTGGCCATGACTCCGGCGCTGTTCATCAAGACGTGCCTCGAACATGAACAACTACCTCTGGGTTTGTGCTTTTCATCTCTACTCTTGGTATGGTAGCAAAAAACTCTCTTTTTTTGCAGACCCCCAGTAAACATGAACAGAACCAAAAAACTAAAAAACCAAAAAACATGCCAAGAACAGTGAAGTTTCTCGTTTGACCCTTTTCAGGGCTTAAAGGGAAAGGACACCGCCATTTTGTGGGGGGGGGGGGGCCCTATTTTGACATTGCCTCTTTGTGCTGCGGTCCCTTAGGGAATGTGTATTTACTCCTGCTGTCGTTTCTTTCTGCCACACCCACAGGTATTCCCAGCCCATCCCAAAACTGCAAGCCAAGCTATCCCACAGCCACGTCCAGCACCCCAGGTCCCATGCCAGCAGAGCCCAGAGCAACCACGGGCTGTGTGTGACAGGGCGGTTCTGCTTGAAACCACCCCCCCCAAAAAAAAAAAACAAGTGGGATTGAAGCGAAACCATTTTCCTTGGAGGTTCTTCAGCACTGTTGGCCACTTAGTGCCATGGTTTGCTCATTGCGCGAGGTTGGTGGTTGGAAATCCGCAAGTTTGCACTGGCAATGAGCAATCGCGCCAGGCCCCACGATTTGTGGCGAAATGAGACCAGCGTGTGCCAGTTGACGAACAGCTATGATTCATGATTTGCCGCTGCCACTGGCAAATACTGAATTGCGCCGCCTTTTGACACAAAGCTTGGCACCCAAACCCTGGCCTAGATCATTCAACTAAACATCCGCATGCAAAGCTGCAAAGGGAGATTCTTGGCGAGGAATTGCGTCGCGAAATCCTTCACGCTCTGCAGGCTGCCCAGGTCCAGCTTCATGAATTCAGCCTGCGCCACAACCCGCCAAGAGCAACGACAGCTTTGGAGGAATCCGGAGCACCCTTGTCACACAGACAGCCCCCCTCCAAAAGAAGCAAAGGACAAAGGACGATCTTTTCGCAGGGGAAACCACCGATTGCGGCCTCCGGAATCTCCCGATTTTTTTTGAAGCTAAGACTGCCATCTCCGAAACGCGGGCCTTGGCATTTGGAACTCGTCCCATGAGTTCCTTCATGGCCTCTGCGCCCTTGCCTTCGCTGCGCCCGGCCAGGATCACCTCCAGGCTCAAACAAAAAAAAAACTTTGATACCACGGGGACGAAACATTTTTCTCTGCCTGGCCACGGGGCAGCTCAAGACCTGAAAAAAGGCAGCTGCCGCACCTGCGCGCCCTTCCTGGCCATCTCCACTGCTGACTCGAAGCCGATGCCCCGGACCTCGGCTGGCTCGGTGAAACCGAAGCGAGGCGCCTGGCCTCTTGGATTGAAATATGGCTGGCTGCCCTGAACGTAAGGACCGGGCGGAGCTGTAAAAAAACAAACACGCGCAAGCTAAGATTCAAGGCTGGCACGGTTTAGCTTCAACGCATCAAGGCAGTTGAGCCTGGTTGCAGTCGGTCCTGTGACAATGGCGACTTTCCCTGACAGCTCAGGCATGTCTTTCACATCCCAGGCCGGGAAAAGGTCCCAAAACTTGCCGTCGACCACGGCGCTCCTTAGCTGATGGATCCTTCCGACGCTTCTGGAAAGGAGCCTTCCGCGAAGGGCGGAGCTTTCGGCCAAGTCTCAGCCCAATTGGCCCCAAGACGGCCAGGATCGGCACCAGAAAAGCGCATATTCTTAAGCAGGCCATGGTGGCTGAGGCCAAGTACTGACTAAAGCTTGGGCATCCCGGGATTAAATCCAACAGCTTGCATGGGTTCCTGCCATGCTTCAAAGCCAAGCAGGGAACGCACTCCCAACTCCTTTTTTGCCTAGCATGCAGGGTCTGTTGGTCAATGTTGGTCAACGGCCGGGTGGAGGCTCGATGCTGGTCAGCAAAGTCCTGCCAAGCGCTGGAATTCACCCAACCAAGCAGAGGGGGGGGGTCCTTGTTCCCCCTTCAAAAAGGCTCCCCCAACACTAGCTGATCTAGTGCAGGATTTTTGCCCACGCCTCATGAACTTTGCCCTGCTGCGGTAGCTGTGGAAGTCAGGCCGCTCGTGCAGGGACCTCGGGGTCGTGCAGCGCTCATAGTCCTTAAAAATCATCTGGCGGTGTGTGTGTGTGTAATCAAAAGGAAGGTCCTCCAGTAGAGAGGTTCGAATAAGGGCACCCTTTTTTCCGCAGTCTATTCGACTAGGGGAACCCTCCCCAAAAAAAAGGGGTAAAAGGGCACTACTGGGGGATTTAGAAAAGGAAGGCTGCCTCCACTGATTCCTGCAAAGGACTCGTTGATCTGGCTCAGCTGACGAGTCAATGTGCTGAGGCTTCCAGCTCCCATCTGGGCTTCTTTGAGTCACCCATGCGAATTGGCCTCAAGACACGCGGGCGAAGCTGGTTGTGAAGCATTGATGCGGTTCGGGTGCGCATGCCGCTGGGCTCCGGTCTTGAACTCACCGATTCCGCCCCACAAGGCCAGCAGCGCCCCGCACAGGACTTCTACAACGACCTGCGCCAAGTCAACTGCCGGACTTGGAAAGAGCCACCCTGCGTCCAGGCAAGCGAAAAGACAAACAACAAGACTGCGCGGCAGAATTCCGCGAATTCTGCCCACCCCCTCCCCCCCCCCAGCAGCCCAGAGGGCCCAGCAACCGCGATGTCGCGATGCCTGGAAGGTGACGCCTGTTGCGTCTTCGTGCATCGCCTCCGACTCTTCCATGGCTGCATGCTTCTCCGCCTAGGCCACAGGTTTCACCCCAGAGGCCTTCCTAGAGACGACCAAAACCTGACAAGGCCTCCTCAAGGAAAGGCGGTGAGCCTTACCAACCCTGGAAGTTCTTTGTAGCCTGCCAAAAATGAACAGACATGAGAGTCATTTAGGATTGTCTGCCTCAAAATGAGGGACCCCCAAAAACGGCTGGAGCCCCTTTCGGTTCTGCCAATCAAACGGGGTCCCCCCTGACCCCCACCCCCCGGGAAAAAAAAAGAAGAAGAAGGAGAGACCTAAACCAGCGGTCCCAGCCCCCTGAGCGCAGTTCCGTGATCATGCTGCCCGCGTGGGCCACCATTGCTGTGCCCACCTGAGTCACAGCAAGCCCGAGTGGACCTCCTCGGCCCGACAACGGCTGGCTTGTCTTTGTTGGGAGGCTACCCATCTTTGGGTGGCAAAGGAGAACCATGAGGAATGTAGGGGGGTTCCCTAAAAAGGACACCCCCACTTGTTCTTGGGGGTTGTTGCAGGGTTGTTCCCTGAGGGGTTTCTTCAAGAAGCTGGGGAGCCAATAGCCAATCTGGAAGCTTCTCACCAACTTTGGTTGGTTAAGGAACAGGCAAGAACCACAAAAGACATGGCTGCAATTTGGAAGGCTAAGCTCGTGCCGTGATGAAAGGCCCGCGCCACGACCATCCATAGCTTCACTGCCATGGCCACTATGCAGCTGAGGTCCCTAGCAAAACTCTGAGCTGAGCAGCGATTTCAATCAGAAACTCTGCACGCCATGGAAGCCATGGGAGACGCAGAACTTTGCAAGGACTCAACATACACCCGCTCTGACGCCGCTGGCCGTGATGTCACAATGACTTTCCCATATACGTGTTCAAAAAAATCATGCACATACACCGATATATCTTGGAGTGTGTTCAGTTCCATATAGCATGGTTCCCTCCCCAGTAGATCGCTTCGATATTGTGCAAACTGGTAAGCTGACAGTGGAAATCCTGAGTTCCCGCCGCATAGCATGCTACGGAGCAACCTGAAAAAAACCAACCCAGCCGCAACTTGAACCTCCGAAAGGCCTCGCCACGGCCACTCTGAGCGCCTCTTTTCCCGTTCCTCTCGATCCCACCGGGCCTTCAAGCCAAACCAGAGCGACAGGTGAAACCGCGAAGCGGCGCTGAGCCTTTCGACTGCCATGTTTGCGCATGGGTCAACGCTCTGGGAAGTTGCTGGCTCAACCCGAGTCCTCTTTGATGTTGCGTAAGATTGGCTCGTTATTGCCCGTTGGAGACTTCAAGGCAAAGGAGGAACTGATTTGCACGTTTGCCTTGGCTCTTTGCGTCCGTCTTCGCAAATGCTACGTACTTCTGTGGTGAGACGAAGGCATGACGCCCATACCTGTTCCGCATTTTGATTTCTTGCACGAAATGGGTTTGTTGGGGGGAACCCCTTTTTGGTTGGCTTGCAGGAACACCAAGAGGACAACCACCATTTTCGGAGGGTGCCCGAAAAAAGAACACACCCAAATGAACCAGCAGGCCAAGGATCCCTATCAATGCCATCTAGCGAGGCATTAGCTGGTAAGTCAAGCAGGTGGCGTGCGAGCTTGCAAAGCATGTGTGTGATCCAGCGGAATCTTGGCAGGCTGTGCGCCAGTCACTTGACATGGTACCTGCCAGCCGCGAGTTGCGGTTCGAAAAAGTGCAAAGGGCCTTTTGAAGCAACGGCTTCAAGGCAAGCGTGTCCAGGAGCACTTCGCGAATCACTCCTGCAGATTGTTCACTTGCCAACCATACATGTTCTGCCACAACTAGGAACGGCTTTGGGATGGGTAGAAACCTACAGGACAGCAACCACATGTCCCCTTTCTAAGATGTGCTCATATTGCACAACATGTTCTGCTTCGATCGATGCGCAATGCCTGCGCTCAAATAAAGACTTGCTGGTGCGATAGGTCGGGAACGAGGGAGTGAACCTGCGGATTCCCGAACAAAAGAAACCAAATCGGGGATGGTTTTTGTCCGGGGTCATTCCAATTCTCATTCCCTGCCTATCGCAGCAAGTAGAGACTTGCCACCATAGGTGGCCTTTTGGAAAAATAGATGGCCCTGGTAAATGGAACAAACCCCGTCTTTTAAGCAAGGCCCTCTATTTTTGAAGCAACCCGCCACCACCCTTGCTCGCGTTTTTTTTTCTCTTCGCAGCTCTGTCGCAGGCCGTCCGCTGCCTGCCGAGCTTGGCCCACGCCTATGAACTCCGCGCCACGGCGAAGGAGCTCCTCCGTCTCTTGCCGGAGCCAGGCCAAGGCCTGTCAATCTCCAGGGGACTGGGCTGCCCGAACTGATCCCCCGCCCAAAGTGACTCACTTTGAGTGGGTGAAATGGACATCTCCACTACACACTCAAAGGCTAAAAAGCCAAGGAACCGGATGGCTGGGAACCACCAAGGGGAGTGAAAAAAAATGGTTGACCCCCTGAACCCGACTCCCGGCCTCTCCAAAACACAGGGGTCATGGTGTCAGTTGCTCACAAGGCTGAACATGATGTTGACCCCGTACTCATCAACCCTAGTTTAGTTTATGCATAGGCCCACCAAAAGTGAGCTGCTTCCAACCACTCAATGCAAACACCCTTCAATTAAGCTGGGGTTGATTACTATAGGATTAAGGCCGAGCCTCTTCATTGCCAGCCAACAATGGAGAGATCTCGCGTCTCACTCGTTCCTGGTATGCCTGAGCGGCCAGAATTGGGAAAAGCAATCGCCAATGCGAAGTTTCTTTGCCTCTGCGTGCTGATCTAACCAAGGCTCATTGAGGTAGGTCAGTTCAGTGTCAGTCAGCAGCGAGACCTCCACCAGATTTCTCCTCAGACAAGTTACCTTCGCCCTCCTGGTTTCGCCATTGCGAATTGGCGGACCTTATTTACATGGGGATTTCTGTCCAGCCACTTTTCAGGGAGTTGTCCCTCTTGAAATTCCTGGCCTCGTGATCGTTTCACGCCAAGAGCACCCCCCCCTTCGTCCCTTCGCCTAAGCCCAAAACCCTCGTGAGCGTTTCACGCCAAGAGTCTGAATGGGGATCAAGGTCACCGGCGTGAAGCCAAGGAAGCTCCCCTTCGATGCCAGCTCCTCCTGGCAAAAAAACAAAATTCTGCCTTCAGACAAGCGGCAGAATTAATGATGCCACCCGGAAGCATGCCGCGGAAGCATAAAAATGACCAGATCATGGAAACCCCCAGATTCAGAGAAGCCCCCTGCTGCATTGATGGTGTGTGCGTGTGTGCCTGTTTGTGTGCGTGCGTGTCCCCTTTTTGTTTTGGGAGCCACTTTTGGACAGCAGCCCTATGAATAGGGCGGTTTTTTCTGCGTCCACTTTTCTCCAGCCTTTGGCACCACCAGCATGAGATTCTCGATCCGAATGCCGAAACGACCTTCCAAATACACCCCGGGCTCGTTGCTCACCTTGGCCACATCTGCCGCCAAAGCCATTCAAATACAACCCCGACTTTCCGTTTTGACCGGCCAATGAATTGAACTTCTTGGAAATTCCCCCCAATCTCAAGGAGATGGCCCCAACGGATTCACTTTGAATGTGTCAGATCCAAACTCAGGCAAGCAGTGCCTGAATATTCAGCCAGGCAGCAATCATCCCAGCCTGAGAATAGTTGACACTTGCTTCATACGGCTTGCAACCCCTGAAAGTTCTTGTTCGCGCTTCGGGCTGCAAGGTTTTGCTTTCCGATTCATGGTTGTGGCTGACTCTCGTGCTTGCCCATGGTACAGATGGCAAAAGCTTGTGACATGGGTGTGGTTTCTTTTTGTTCGGCTTCCTGGCGGTTTCCCTCGAACCCCCCCAAAAAAAAGGCACACCCAAGAAACGACACACCCACCATCCAAGCAAGACAGCTTGAAGGGCCCCCAGCCTTCAGTGCATCGCGGCTTTCCTTGGGCACGTAGAAAACATCCAAAATCAATGCACGAGGCTCAGCGCGCTGTCCCAAGCAATGGCATCATTCAAACGCAATGCATCATTGGAACACGACATCATTCAAGGCAATGCACCATGCTCAGTCACTGTTCGAGGGAAAGCAGCGGGGAACAACTTTGATTTCACGACCCTTCTAGCATGTCGTTTTCCGTTGTCTGATCTGCAGAACAAAGGTTGCTGTATGTAGGCGCCCATCTGAACGGACGCAGATGCGAGTTCTCAATCGGGCCCACAATCCCCGCATTTCCGCGAAAGCTCTTCTCCGGGTGGCTTGTCACTCTTTGTAAACCTTGCGAAGCTTCTGGTTGATGAAGGAGCTACTTCACAAACCGTTCTGCAAGCCTGCAAGGGTCGATTGTGACCAAACGTTTCCGACGATTCTTTCTAGCATCAAGTCAAAAGGGAAGCGACGTGTCACAAAGACAGGGGGTCCCGACGTCAGATCAAAGCAATGGACGGAACGTTGGATCTGAGCGAATCGACTGCAGCGAAGTCCCGCACCGGCAAAAGGAAATGAAGAACCTGAACCATCCCCGCGCAGATTTGCGCCGTCACTTTTATCACGAATCTGCTCGTTGTCTGTCTGTATTGTTTTCCTTTTTTTAATGTGTTGTTCTCTTTTTTTCCCCGAGGCGAGTTCTTCCAAGCTTTTCCGCCCAGTTTTTGCGAGTTTCCCTGGAGCTGCCGGCTTTCAGGCGGATCTCGTCGAGATATGTTTGCCGGGGTGGGGGAAAAAAAAAGCAGCGCACTTTTTGGGGGTTTTCTTCAGGTCGCCCAGCGCTGGCCCAGGTAGGGCGGGAACTCGTGGACCCCCAGCGCCGCGCCCACGCCGTGGCCCGTGCCGTGGCGGTAGTCCAGGCCAGCCTGAAACGGAGCCCTGGACGGCTTGAACCAAGGGAGATGCAGATCACAAAGTCCCCTTAAACATGGGATGACCAGTTGGAAAACCCGCCAAACACATGTGCTTCCCGCGAAATGGGGAATTGAACGACCGGTGCGGTTGAACGACTGGGGTTTGAGAACAAAAATGATTTTGATCTTATGTTGGCAATGGTTTTGGCTCAGAATGGACAAAGGCAGGCTGGCAAAAGAAAGTCTTAAAGCGGTAGACCTGCAACAATTTCCTCTAAAACATCACCCCCGCCAAGGGCCACTTGGCCAAGCAGGGGCCAAAAAGGCGATGTTTAAAACCACCAAAAGGGACATATAGGGACCCCTGTCCGGTATACATGGGATGACGACCTGCTGGAAACCACTGAACAATTGACACTTCCACTAAAAGGAACAAAAAGGTACCCATGTTCATTTGGGGCTCAGAAATATTGATCCACCCCCCTGCTAGAATCCTGGCTGTGGACATGTTGTGATGATGCCTGTGGAAGAATCGCTGGACTGCACAGGAATCTGACTTGGCACATTTCATCTGACCGCACGGGCACTGAGCGCACCACTGCCCACAGCGGTTGCCTGGCCTTGGAAAAGCACCCAAGTGGTAGGGCTCCACTCCAAACCAGGTCTAAAGATTTCGTAAATTGCGTGTAGACACATGTCACTTTCACTCTCCAATTTAGACGCCGTGCTTTGGGGGGTCATCCGGAATGTGGGAACGCTCTACGCTCACCTTTTGCTAGGTCCTCCAGTAGAGAGGCTAGAATAAGTTGGTACCAACTTTTTTCTGTAGCCTATTTTAGTAGGGGAACCCTCCCAACCAAAACAGGGGTTCAAACGGGCACCTAGCTGGGGAACCTAGATAATCTCATTCCATATCCTTTTGTTCTTTTTGCTAGTTTTCCCCACCACAAACGAATTTCCGTCTTGGCTAAGAGGGGCGGGGATGTGGGAACGCTCTACGCTCACCCTTGGGCCCTGGCAAAAGCATCCAGGGCGAAGCAGGGGAGATCCGTGGGGAAGATCGCGGTGGCCAGACCTCGTCAAGCGCCATTCTCGGAGACCATTGGCTTTTTGTTTACCTGGCAAAAAAGGAGGGAATATGTCCAGTGATAGATCCCCTTTAAAACCAGGGGAAAAACAAGAACACATTCATTTCAGCACATGGAAGTACTTGGAGGTTTACCTACAGGTTTGCTTGACAGACCTTGCTCGGGGCAGAAATCACGGTAGCCATGCAGATTTCGCCACCCGTGAGATGAAGATTCACATCATTTGCACCTCCACATGGCCGTGGCTCAAAAAAAACGGAATTCCAAAATGGAACCTTGGTAAGTGGACACATGGGGACCAACACCCGCGGAATTTGCCCCTGGCTCGTCAATTTTTGAGCCACGGCCACTTCATTTTTCTCCGGGCGATTGGGTTGGTCATGGGAATCTCTGGGAATCCTGAAGTCTGATCATGTCTGATCCCATTCACTCCACTCACTGGCGATCCAGTCAAAGCGTTTCCCCAGCCGACGGTCAAAAAAACCCAGGCCCAGGTAAATCAGAAGGGTTTCTCCTGGCAGGCTGGACCGTGGTCAAAACCACAGTCGATAGGCAATAACTTGATCCAAGGGCACTTGAGTAATAGTCTTCAAAGAGAATGCCTTCCCTTTGCTCAAACCTTGAATGCAGGCATGGGCACCAATGTGTGCTTTCAGCACGCGAGTGAAGAGCTCACCTCACATTGGAGCTCTGGGACATGTCAAGAACCTCAATGGCCCAGGCTGCTTTCAAGCGACGTTCTTCAGATGTAGGAGTGCCGAAGTGCAGTGTCCCTCGGCTGCATCTTACCATTCTTTGATGCAGGCCCCATATTGCGACCGGTGCCATGGTGCCCACAGAAGAAAAACATAAACTTGCAGCCGACGTACGGGTGACGTCAGTTGTGCCGTCCACATATTGGGCCCCGGAATCCAGCAACAGGAAGGAGTCCATACCTGGACGTAGTCTCAGCCGCAGTGCCACAAAACGAAATGGCTTCCTCGCTCAATGTCTCACCCGGTCTCACCACTGAGTCGCAGTCCGACTGTGGCTGCAGATTCAGCCTGGAATCTTGACACGGGGGGCCTATTGCTGAAGCAAAAGTTGCGCCTGCGCTACATAGTGCACAATGGCGCCGTTGGCAGCATATCCCGCAATGGTGTCAAACGAGTTGTCCACGTAGCCTGAATCGCATGAGATCAAGCTCAGGTGTCAATGCCATCAGTTCAGAGGCACATTCTTGCCGCGTGTCCTTCTTGTGCCGCACGGGCTTCTGTCACGGCAAGGTCGACGTCTACTTCAGTCCTCGGGAAGCCATGAGCGGACCCCGCTGTCCAAGACCAAACGCCTTCGGCCAAGGCGCAGTGTCTGGCCACCGGTCACCATGTTTTTCAGCTGTGCCAGCGCACCGCACATGGCAGCACCGTCACGGCGATGCGCTGCAATGATGCCATCAACCTCGCATGTATTCTTGCATACCTCGGGCTCATTCACGTCATGCGCACAGCAGCAGGTCGCATGAGAGCAACTTTTGGCAGACCAAGCTCCTTCATTGACGATATGGGCGATGGAAGCGTCACCTCACTACGCAAACCGGAGAAAAACGCTCGCAGCACGCTCGCAAGATTAGGTGTCCCGATCATTTTGGCAGAGTCGCTTTAGGCCCATCGAGCCCGACCGCCAGCAGAAGTGAGTAATTGGAGCCTTCAGCGGTGGGCACCGGTCAAGCTCAGCACGCCGAACAAGCCAGTAACGAGCCCCTGGTCATCAAAGCTCCCACTGCAAGAGGTTGATGACTCATGCTGTTAAAGCACAAGTACACAAATGGTGGGACCAAACTGACGCAGCTCCTAGGTGCTTGTTTAGCCAAGCAGCGCTTCGTGTCCATCCAAACCTTACTTGAGTCTTCAATGCTGGTTGGGCCCCCATGGGCTTGCGCCCAAACAATGCCCTCTCGCAACAGCAGTCTCCAAAGTGTGTGGGTTTCAAATTGTCGGAAGGCCATGCAGGCCCCAGAACATGCGAACCACCAAGTTGTCAAAGCGCCGATAACTAGCCAACACATGCGGCTGCTGCCCGACTTCGACTGAATGCACGGCAAGCGGCTTTCTGGCCACTCGCCTTCAGTGCGGGAACAAACTGCTGATAGTCATATGCCTCCACACCGGCGGCCTCCAAATGGGCGACCACCTGAGAGCCATCTTCGATGGGGTGAATCTAAAACCCTCAAAACGACCCCGAAAACAGGTGAGGTGAAAACCCCAATTTGTGAAGATGGGAAAACTTATTCCTTTTCGGGTTGGTTTGAAAGGAAACTAAAGGAAACCAAAAGTCGTGGCCTTGGAAAAGCCTTTCTCTTTGGAGCTTGGGGCAGCCCCCCACCCCCATTGTTTGGGAGGGGTCCGAGCTCAGGTTTTTCTTTGGTGGTTTCGCACAATAGCAATCGGCCCCTACAATGTGTTCTTCCCTAACTCCAAAAGCGAATCCACCTTTTCAAGAAATTGCCATTTTGGAGTTGGAGAAGCTCTTCTTGTTGCCTCCTTTGTGTTGGAAGAGAAAAAAGAAAGCGCTTCCTGGTTCACTAGTATTGAGGTAGGAGTGCCATGGGCTCCTGCCAACGCCAGCGGCATACCCTGGCTGTAAGAATCCCTGGCCCGAGTGCCTCTGGTGGCAGCTTGCCCTTGTCGACGAAGATGGCCGCAGAGCTCAATCCAACCAAGGCATAGGCCAGTGCTACCTCACTCTCTGCACAACCGCTCCCTTCATGACTGCGTGATTGCAGAAAGCAGGTCAAGAAACCATGACATTGGAATGGCGTTGCCCGGCAGGTTCGCACGAATACACAAGAACATGCAATGCAAAGTCGCTTCAGTGGTCCGTGTCTTCTTTCGGGCAGGTCATTAGCAACAACGCCACTTCTTGCAACCGCGGGCACAGGCGTGCGGTCGACATCGCAGCCGCGGATGTTGAACAAGTACCTCAATCGTCAAAGCCGCGAACTGTGATATAATTACCTTGATTGTTGGATGTGAGGGGCTTCCTGTTGCAATGCCTGTGTCAATTGAGATGGGCAACAATCGCCCGAATCAACATGGGACAACTTCGTGTTTTGTGTGACGCCGCAGCGAACATACGCAGCACCCTATGTCGCAGTAGAATCGTAGTCCCCCTGAAAGCTTCTGTGCACAGTTTGCTATGATTCACAAAATGGAGCTACCTAAAGGTTCCCTAGTAGAAAACCATCATGAGAGACTTGCCTCAAGGAAAGCTCTTGCTTCTGCGGCCCTCACATGCGCTTTAGTCAACACTCATGTGGCAATGATCTTGTGCGGTTGGCCAGCAGGAATTCGAGGGGGCATCCGTTTCATAATAGGATGTATTTACTGATGTGGGTCTGTCCTTTCTTGGGGGACCCACCAAAATGGTGGTTTCCTTTTAGCTTCCCTTCAAAACCAACAAATGAAAGGGTACCCCCAAAAAAGACAGACCCGTGTGGTTCAATGTAGGGCCCCGCAACATCCAAAAAAACACCAAAAGGTTGACGCCCACCTCTACCAATCCTTCCTAAGAGGGCTTTTGTACATCAGCTGGCATGATTCTTCTTTTGGCTAAAACGGGGATGTCTCAAACTAGGGACCTCTCCCTTTTTGATGTTTTGATGGGAAACCAAAAGTAAGCCAAACACATGGAAACGGTTCCTAACTTTGAGCCACGTCCACATGCATTTCCGCAGGTGGACCCTCTTCTATTTTCTGGCATTGCAAGGGAAAACCAAGAGGAAACCCACAAATTCTAGGGGACGAGTTCCCTAGGTTTCCTTTTCGCAAATAGAGGGTAGTAAATGGAATCAAATATCTACTTCTAACCAAATTTAACCTTAAAAGGACACCTACCGGGGGAAAAACAAACATGAAAACATGAAAAAACAAACACATGGAACGCCACCCATGCGCTCAGCGCGTTTTCAGCCGGAAGGCGCCACCTCGTCCAGAGCCGTCACCGCCAGTACCTCTGCAGCCTGCGCCCGCAGTTCTGACCGGACTCTGTGGAGCTTGTCCTCCGGACCCGAAGAACGAGGTTGGAGTCGGACTAATGGAATAACCAAAGAAAACCATCCAACTGGTGGTTTCCTTTAATGGGACCTCTGGGTTCATTCCCTCATTCCCAAAGAAAGTGGTAAAGGCATGCGGATCTGTCTGGTTTTGCACAGGGTGTCCTCCATTTCCAAACGGTTGGAACCTCCAAAAGTCGCAGTTTCAAAGGAAACCAGCAACTTGTCAGGTGGAAATCCAGTAGGAAAACCAGCGGACATCTGCCAGTGTTCTTGGGTACCAAGCCAGACCCACCCCAAACGAACCCGATGGCGCAAAGCAAGAAACAGAAATTGGAGGGAAGCTAACGCACATGCTCTGTGAAGGTGGGTCTGTCTGTTTTTGACAGGGTGTCTTCCATTTCCAAATGGTTGGAACCTCCAAAAGTGGCAGTTTCAAAGCGAAACCAGTAAATTGCAACTTTTGAAGGGGCGTTCGAGGTCCCTTTTTTGTGGCTTGAAAGGAGAACTAAACGGAAAACTACAATTTCTGAGGGGAATCCCCTTATAAAAAAGCAAAAAACACACAGCCATGCTGACTCCAGATTCAACCACACTTCCTCCAGTGATGAACCCCTCAGGGGCCAACAAACTCCGCCAGGGTCTTTGCTTCATCCAGGCTTCCCACCAAGCAGCGCACAAAAACCCAAACTTGTGGTTCTACCAACATGGCCTGTTTGCATAGAGGCTTAGGGATTCCTACAGGATGAGGAACCTAGTGAAACTGAGGGGGGGATGTTGGGTGCTGCTCAAGTAGGCCTTCGCTGGCTTCCATCGGACTCCATCTTCTGTCCTTTGGCTTATTGGCTTAGGGTGGGGTTAGGCTTCGTCGGTAAGAGCATTGGTGAAAATTCCCGTGGGCTTCCCCCGTGGGCTTCCCTCCGGCCATTTTGAATTTCCCACCTGCGCGGTCGGTTTCCTTCGGGCCAGGTTTAAAATCGGCTTCCTCTGGGCTCCTTTCACGATCGCTTCACACCTTGCCAAGCCACCGGCTGGAACCGAGTTTATGTTGGACCCCAACAAAAACTGGGCGGGCTTCCTTTTTGAAGAACCCCAAAAGGGGCACCCTGCAAAAGACAAGCCCATTTGTGCTTCTTTTCGTCGTAGCCTTTTCAGGTTGGCTTCAAGCGATTTGCGCAAAGGACACATCAACATTTGTGCGGTAAAGACGCAAACCCATTGCTCATGTTCCAACAGGCAGAGCTCCTCCCCCGCCCAAACGCTCCCAAACGCCCCGAACGCCCCGTCCTCCACACTCTGCCCGGCCAGCTCCAAAGGATGCAGCCGCAACTCGCCTTGAGGCATGGGAGGCCTCGAGACGGTTTTCTTTTTCCCTCCCCCCGGGACTCGAAAGGCAAACCTGAGCTGACTGGTTCGAACGAAGACCTGGACCAATCCCATCAGCCGTGGGCTTGAAGTCCTACGCCGCCGTCTTGGATATTTGCAGTGGCAAAGGGATGTGCGAAATCTTGGCAAAAAGGCTCGTGTAAAGCCCGTGACCCGGGACAATGCTTCAGGAAGTTGACATCGTTTTGGTTTTGGCCCCTTTTGGTGGTAAAGGGGCGAAGGGCGGTTGGCCTACAAAACACCCAAACCAAGGTGGGCGTTTGCCATTTCCCCAGGATTCACCATGAGTTTGGCCAATAAAGCGCAGCTCGTCCTTGGCTGCCAGAAAAGCCGCCCCCCCCCCCAAAAAAAAAAAAACAAAAAAACAAAAAAAAGTGAGGAAGAAATATCTACCCCGGCCTTTTTTTTCTCAACCTGAGAGTAATCCCAAATAATGGTACCCCACAAAACTTGAGCCACCGGATGTCCAGGCTCTTTCCAGAAACGTGTCCTGTTTTAGGGGCGCCACCAAATCTTGAATTCTCCTCATGGCTTCTCTTTAAACCCCGCCAAAAAGGCTTTCCCCCTCAAGACAAGACACATCCTATATAATTCAAAGATGTAGGTTCTTCGGTGTGAAGACACTGAAAACAGCGACAAAATGTCAAAACACATGTTCTCGAGGCGGTTCGACAAAGCCTGATTGCCAACCATGCAATACACCTACCCAACATACGTCCCACTGCACGCAGACCCAGCTGAACACATAACCTACCCTCTACCTGTACCCCCCCCGCAACCTACACCACCATACCAGAAACCCAGCTTGCCTCTTTGTCGCTCCCTTTGGATCAAGAAATGGGTGTGCATTGATTTCGGGCCCCAAAGCGCAACAAGACCGGCCAAACGATTGCCCTTTTGAAACCATCCAAAATGGCACTCTCCCAAGAAAACGACCAACACCCCCAAATTTGATGCCCGGAACTGGCCGCGCCTGTCGTGCCAGACTCCGTCCACCAAGTTCTTGTCCAAAGGCCGCAGCTGGATGCCCATCTGACCCAGCCGGGTCTTGAGGTCGCCGGCCGCACAGGCCGAGTGCACGCTGGGGTCGATGCCCACGCAGTCCCCTGCGGCTGGGGCGCAGTCTCAGTTTGGCGTCGAAAAGAAGTGCCGGTAAAACCTGCAAGGAAAGTTCGTGTCAAGGATTTGGGACAGATTTCTTCTGGCAACACCCTTTAAAGTCATACTTGTTTAACTGGGCTGTGAGTTTTCAGATCCCTGCTAAAAGCTTCATGTTGTGTGGGTTAAATGGAAACCCCACCACTAACCCAACTAATAACTCCTGAAAACCTCAGGAACCGGACGACTCGCGCACCAAGTTGGGGAGGGGGGGGCTGGCCAAAAACATATGAACATCGATTTGAGCGAACCGCGCTCAAGCGGCCACCATCGATTGATGGGCCGGCGCCTTCTCTGAGATGCGCGGCCAGCCAGTCCTCCAACTTGGGCGTGCCCCTCAACCCCGACTTCATCAGCTGCCAGGAGTCGCTCAGCTCCAGCTCCGCCTAGGCCAAACCATCGGAGACTGCGGCAGAAAGAAGACGGAACAACCAGTGGACGTTCCAGTCAGCTCAAACAACTCCGAACTCACACTTGGATTTACTTTTATTTATTTATTATTTTTTTGGGGGGTGAGTATCTAAACTTAGGCACATGTCTAACTCTTTTTTTGGTGTCAACAAAAAATCGGTCCTGCCTGCGTGAAGTACCTGCCATCCGTCCACAGCAGTGCCTCGCGCTCCGTGACCACACAGGTCCCCGCAGACCCGGTGAAGCCTGACAAGAACTTCCGCCGCGCGAAGCAGGGCGGGGGGATCTCCGACAAGTGGGGCTCCTCCGTGGGCACGATGTAGGCCTGCAAGCCCTCGCGATCCAAGGCGTGCCGCAAATCCGCCAGAACCTCGCCACCAGACCTGACATGAGATGCCCCTCGGATGCCTCGCCAGCTCCATCTTCGCCTTCGCCAACTGGCGAAGCCACAAATGAGGAAGCCAGTCACACGCCTGGCGACTCCATTGACTCGCCAACCTCCGATTGTAGAAGAAAACGCGGGAGACTGGCTCACAGTCGCGACTGGTTTTGGATATGCTGCATGCCCCACGGCTCTGGTTTTCGTACTCCTCAGCTTCCCGAACTTGGGAAGCGCATCCATCGCTTTAAGCCCAACTCGTGCGCATTTGTGCGGGTCATTAACGTGTGATGCAACGAGGGTGATGCAAAACTTCATGCATGTGGCCAGTTGCGAACTCATTTGCCATGCCGCGCCGAAACAAACGGCTTGGAGCCCCTTCAAGCATTGGCGCAATGTGGCAAGCATGTGCCAATTGGCTGGCAGGAATCCAGGCGTTCCATGCAACCTGCCTACAGGAGGTAGTGCCCGGCTCAGCTTTTAGGTGGCGAGGCAATAGCGCAATTGTCGTGGCAAGCAATCACGCAGGCACCGCGGCCTGTCCTCATAAGCTGGAACATCAGCCCATCAGAGGTGGTGCCACATGCATCTTGTGAAATTCCTGCGGGGACGCGCTCTGGTATCATCTGGTCAGCTAAGCACTCATCGGGCGGCTGTGTAACCGCCCAAAATACCTCAAGCACGAGTCACTCCGCCTGCAGGCGTGCGCGCTGCTCCTGTCGCTGCTCCTTCAAGGCCTCAAGGCTCACCCCTGACTTCGGCTCAACTCTTCGCCTTGCTTTTTGCTCATTCGAGCCAAACGGTGTGTGTGACCAAAAAAACGGTTCTCCCATGGTCTGAACCGCGAACTCGAGGGATGAGCCCCCGGCCATCCGTGTCCTTTTGGCATCCAGCTCTGCTTGACGCCTGACCTAGGTCACCAGGATGGCTCGATGCCCGCTAAACCCGTCTCAACCTCAAGACCGCCCCAGCTGTAGGGCGGCACCGTCTCGTGCTTCAGCAACTCCACGCATCCCAGAACGATGCACTTCATGCCTTTGGCCGGGTCTTGCCACATCGCCACGGATGCAACGTAAAGCTTGACATTTGGCACTTCTGAGCAGCGCGCTCTCCAGGATCCCGAAATTCAGGAGGCAACCGCACAGGGTTGCCGCGTAGGATGCCCAAATCTCAGAGGCAGCAACATGCAACACAAGATGGCTGGGTTGGCCAGTTGAGGCCGCTGCGCTGCTGCTTGGCATGTAGACCCCATAGAATGCGATGATCCCGACACTGTACACAAAAATCCAAAACCTCAGGCATCGCACAGTCGCAGAGTCGCATGCTCAAAGCCAGGTTGGCAATCTCCGAGGCGCAGGCACAAACAAGTAAACAATCCAAACGCTTACCTGCGACATGGCGGTTCACACGGCTGGCGGTTCTGACGGCTCAGCGGCCCGCCTTCACGACGAATTCGGGGACCGGCTTGGCACCCCTCTCTGGCGGCACGTACTCCTTGACCACAGGCGGCAAGGCCTCCAACAAGCATCTGTTGATAGCGATGGCCCAAAAACGCAGGTGTGCACCAGGTTTGTACCCCTCAATTCAACTTTTGCTCCAGAAGAAGATCCCCTGGAACTCCATTGATGGTTTCATTTTCCCACTATGAAATCGGGGACCCCCCGCCCCCCTCCCCCTGAAGGCAGTCCCTTTTGTGTCTTCCGAGGGCCCGGCAGCAAATGCCAGTGTGTCGTTTAGCGGTGGCGCCTGGCCACACAGTCCATCAACAAGCTTTCAAGCCATTCCCACCATTTCTGGTCATTTGGGTGTCTTTTTTGGGGACTCCCCAACATGGCTTCGGTTTGCCGTCGTTGTTTCCCTGGAAAACCCCACCCCCCCCCCAAAAAAAAAAAAACCGCCCAGGTGACATCCCCAACAGCATGCGGTGCTCTTTCTAGTGCTCGCACCACCCCGCAGCCCTCGCAGAACCTCGTGGAACCCTGGTGGAACCCTCGTGGAACCCTGGTGGAACCCTCGTGGAACCTTACCTCAGGGCCGCCCCGGACCACTCCGGAGCCTATCTGGGCTGAGACCCCAAAGCTTTCAGCTGTTGGGGAAAAGAACGGGGTCCCTCAAAAAAAGACAGAAGCATGTGGGCCGGTCCTTTCTCAAAGGGAGGCTCACACAGCCGAGTTCGCTCGAGGCTTCGCCCGAGCGGCTCGCCCGCCTTCGGAGGCAGTGGCTCCAATGCAGAGGCCTCTCTGTGACTCGGGCGAATTGGAAGTGGACCAAAAGCGTGACACAGATATGGGAAACATACCGTGGATGGTTGCGAAATCCGTTCGCACCACTCTGAGGCCATGGGAAACCATTTGTTTTGTTGGTATTGACAGGGGAATCATCATTCTAGGACTTTTGAGGGGCAGGAGTTCGTCCACCCACAGTAGGTGTCCTTTTTGGGAAAATAGATGGCGCTGGTAGTTGGTTGAACCGCCAAGTAAACCAGGAATGGCCCTCTATTCTTCGACCAAATCAACCAAAACAGGACACCAATTTGGGAAGAAACCTGGGCAGTGGACATGTACCAGTACATGCATGAACTTGCATGGCTAGGAGAGCTTGCAGCTTGCACATAGAAATGGAAAAGTGTATAACATATACATTAGCGCGTATATATATATATATATGCTTAAACATATGTATAGATAGATATATAATACACACATATGCACATGTGAGCATGTCTGACAATGGGGCAAGACTCGCCCAAGGGAAACAACAAAAATAATACCGAAAACACACTGCGTGTGAACTACATCCGTGCGACCAACCAAGGGTCTCGACTCGATGGCAACTTCTTTGCACCCGAGCCCCTGGACCATCTGGCGCAAGGGATTTCGTTCGAGGCCACGTTGGATGCAATGAGCTTTACTAGGTCCTCCAGCAGAGAGGCTAGAATAAGGGTACCTTTTGTTCTGCAGTCTGTTTCAGTAGGGGAACCCTCCCCAAAAAAAGAAACGGTACAAGGGCACTACTGGTAAACCTAGTTTATTGTCTTTATTCACCCGGAGGCTCGCTGCATGGCAACTCCAGCGGGCCTTCGGACCGCTCTCCCTTGCGTCCATGATGGTCTGCAGGGCCTCGATTTGCCGCTGTCACTCATACAGCATAGGCTATGGGTGTCAAAACTAGGGGGCCTGTTGGCCTCTCTCTTGCAAAGAAAGCCAAAATGATATCAACCTTTTGGAAGGCAGATCTAGTTTTGATACACTGCCACATGAACGCTCACATGACCATGCGATGCGTGTACCGTGCAAGGAGCATGTCGGCTTCAATTGAGCCCTTCTCACTCACTTTGAGGCATGAGAATGATGAGATGCTTTCTTTCTGTGGCAGGCCACAAGAACATACGATAACACAAGGCAAAGGGTGCTCGATGCAAACCTGTAACCTGCATCTGGGCGTATCTCATGCTGGGGGATTCACTAAAACCATTGTTTTCCTTTTGGCCCCCTGTCAAACCACAAGCATGGGGTACCCTTCAAAAACACAGCATCTATTCTCATAATGTTCAAGCAACCATTTGCAGAATTTCTGAAGGGTGTCAGAAAACGAGGCGAAAGGCCATCCTGCCGCAGAATTGAAGCAGGCGAAAGGCCAAACAAAGTAAGTGGTCGTTCTCGCTATGAGAAGTGCTTGCATGCGGATGCTCCTACAAGCTTCCAAGGGAGCTTCTGCAACTCAAGATGAAGTTGTGTTGAACTGGTCAGCTTAACTCTGCCCTCACGACTTCAGATGCCCAGTGGCCATGGGGAAAAAAGGGCATCCATTTTGGTTTGCTTGAGTTTAAAGGGGAACCCTTCCCAAATTAAGGAAAAAGGAAGCAACCCACTAGGCAACTGGGCGACGGTTGGGGAACTCGAAACTTTTGCACTGAGTGCCCCACTGCTTTTGAGTGCGTACGGTACACGAAGGCGGGCAATGGCTCAGAGGGTGGATGAACCTTGAGGATGGCAACCACCGACCCGAGGTCAGCCATGGACGACAAACGGAGCAGCTGGAAACCACCGCTTGGGACCAACAGGGTGGATTCGCAGCTTCTCAGCGGATCACATGGCCATGAGTCAAAACCCCGTACCCCCAGTGGATATCCCAATCCCCACTAAAATAGACTAAAATGAGTGGTGCACCTACCCCAAAATGGTACTATTGGTGTTGACCCACAGCCATGTTGTTTTTGGGGAATGAAGTTCGGGCAGAAACGGCGGCATTTCGGGACACAAAATTTCTGAGCGCAGCGCCAGGGGTGGAGGTGGCTTGGCCTTTGCAATCACCGCCTGCACGGGCGAGCGGGCCCCAGCGGCGAGGATCAAAGCGTCTCCCGAGTGAAGCCACAAACAGTTCTGCCGGGCTGTCAAGCAAATGAGCGTTTCCCAGTAGGGGTGATGCTAGTTGATATTGTTCTGTACCCCCTTTAAACAAAAATCCGAAAGGGAGTCCCAATTGTTGGCCAACCCCCAAAGAGCCACCATCGAAGCCCGGGCAAGTGAATCATTCCGGCCAGGAATCTTAATTCTTTGCATGGCTTTGGCGAGGCCAATGCACTACCAGCCTGAATTTGAGTTGGGCACTTTGCGGGACCTGATTTTGATGTTGAGCCGCCTTCGAATCTTTTGGCATCGACGGAACCCTTGGCTCGAAAACCGTTGCTTTGTGAGCCGTCCTGGAAGTCGTTGCCTGGAAAATCCTGCCAAGGCCAATGTCAGGAGCAACCCCCCACCACCCATGTGTCGTGCAGGTTCCATCGCCAAACTAATTAAAAAACAACCTGCAAGTGGAGTAACCAGTACTATGTTAGCACTTTGTAGAACAGTATAGGCATGGGTTCGACATACATCAGCGTGGTGGGGCAGTCTGGATCCATGGCATCAAAGAAGACGCGACTGAGCGAGTCAACCTCCAAACGGCCGCAAAGTGCGGTGAGTTAAAATTGGGAAGCGTTCATTCCGCAGCAAGCAAGCGTCCTGTGGCGTTCCTTTCGCCAAAACGATGGCATGGGCAGGTGGAGGGCCTGCACACGGTGTGCGTCTGTGTGTGTGCCTCTGTGTGTGTGTTTTGGCGTGTTGGTGTGTGTTTGTGCTTGTGCGCGTGTTGCAAACAAAGGTAGCCCGCATCCACATCAGGTTCTCCAGTGTGGTGTCCCTCCAAAACCACCCTAAGAAGGCCTTAAACAAAAACGCACACACACACACACACGTACACACACGTACACACACGTACACACACGTACACACACGTACACACACGTACACACACGTACACACACGTACACACACGTACACACACACACACACACACACACTTGATATGAGACGGCAAAAAAGCCATGGTGCACCCCCGAGCAACTGAAAGGTGAAAAAGCGGAAAGCGGAAAGTGGAGTTTCGGCACAACGTACACGCTACGTCTTTCCTTCGTGTGGCCCTCATCAGGGATGCCATCTGCCACACCAAGTACTCCACGAGCAGAGGTCCATTGCGGTGGCATCCGACTCCAAAAATAGACACAGCCGCGGAACCCCTTAGAAACAGGGGGGCCACACACACAAATTCCCTCAGGGGGAGAAACAGAAACCGAACCCCGGAACCCAAAAACCCGAAAGCCGCCTCCATCATGATTCTCGATGGGTGATTTGGTCGCTTTTTTAACTCCTGCCTGTGCTCGCCTACTTGCGGGCATTTTGACATGTGGCTGCGCTGGCTAAGTTCAGGTGGCCTTCTGATTCTGTTCCCGCACTAGGCGCTCCAGGCTCTTCCAGCGCTGCGTGACATCCGCGATGGACCGGTTGAGCTTCTTGGCCAGTGACTTGTACGAGTACTTGGACCGGCTGTCCGCTTTCAGGCTGCAAAGCTGCTGGTCATCTTCCTCTGTCCAGGCACGAGGTACTTCCGGGGGGGTTCCTGGGTTGCCGGCATCGGAGTGAGCATGAGCAGGAGGTTCGGGAAGGGATTCAGGAGAGGAAAACAGGCCAGCGCAAGGAGAGACCGGAGCTGGAGCTGGAGTGCGAGGTGCTGGACGTGCCGGAGGTTCCGGGGAGTTCGTGTTCTCGGAAGATGTAGCTCGGCGTCTCTTCCGCTTTGTTCTGCGTCGATCAGTACCTTTCTTGTCCATGATGGAGCGGGGAATATTGGCCTTCTTGATGCCCGGCTGGCCAACATAATCGTGCGCCATGGGGCTCTTCGAGCGTGGGTCTATAGAATCGTTGGTGTCCCCCGCGATGGTGCCATAGGACAGCGACTTGCGGTTGATCACCACGTTCGGCCTGTGGTCTGCGTGTGGCTGGAGTGACTGGAAGCCGACGTGTGGCGGGGGGTCAGTCGGGGTTTCCGGATTGACAGAGTTCAGACCTCATCGACTCCAGCAGGAGCAAGTGCGCGTGGCCGCGATGACTCGGCTAGAGACCGGCCGTGGGCATATTGTGGCTGCAAGCGACCTTGCCCGTCATGGTGCCGGCGACTGTGTGCCTCGTCAGCTTGATTCAGGGTCTCCTGGATGAGCTGCATCATATCCGCAGCGTTCTGGGTCATACGATGATGAAGCGCTATCATGCGGCCGAGCATGGCGACAGCTCTCTGAGATCGGCGAGAAGGCCAATACTGTTTGAACCAGTGCATGAGCTCCAGGATCAACACAAAAATCAAGGACCAAAAACCAAGGAAAACCCCGACGCAAGAATGCAAAAGCACAGACGAGCCATAACAGGCCCGGAGAAAAACCGAAAAGAGCCAAAGGAAAGCCACAAAGCCCAACATCGAAAGCCTGGCGTCGAAGCGGCGACGAACTGGCGCTTAAAGGTTCTTTCTGGTTGGGATCGCCGAAAGATGAAACAGGTGTTGCAGGTCAGCTAACTTGTAGCCGGCGGACAGATAAATACTGCGGAGCTGATCCAGTGCCATCTGTACTGCTCTGGCTGGGTGCGCATACTTGGTGGCGAGGGCTGACCGTGATCTGGCCCCGGAGAGAAGGGTGGAGAGGCTTCCTGCAGTGTGCGGTCCTCTTATCTGCCAGATTTTGCTTGGGGTTTTGTAGTAAATCGCCCGGTCGCCCACATCGATGACGAAGCCGAGGAACTCCGAAGACCCCACCTGTTCCAGCACGATGGGAGCGCCGTAAAAGTCAGCCTGAAGCAGAGCCTCCAATGGAGCTGCCGGGTGACCTGAGGCTGGAGACGGGAAGATGACAAATCTGTTGTCCACATATCGCTCCAAAAAGATGTTGTGACTGGTAAACCATTGTCCGTAGATACGCTGCCAGATAACTTCGTGCCTCGCGACGCATATGTGGCTGAGTACTGGGCTCAGCTGAGAGCCAATCGCTGTACCATGGACTTGGCGCAGGATGAGAGTTCCAACCTGGACATACATGCATTGGAAGCTGGACTTGACGATACCCAGGATGTCCTCCATGTAAATGACACGCGTGGTCGGCGTACGTCCGTAGGATTGCTTGCCCGCAAACACTTGATTGTAGTGGACAGCTGCCTGGGTTTCCACTGAATACACGAGACCGGGTCGCCCTCGCTGGTGCTCGGCTAATAGCTGCTCGACTGCTGCACACACTTGATCCTGAGGGACACTATTGAAGAATCCGACCAAATCGTCATTGTGGAAGGCAAGGGTGACTGTATCGTCTGTGTTGTCAAAGTACTGTTTGATGTTCTGCCATATCCTCGGTGTGGGGTGTATCCCCCATGAACATTTCCATGTGTCGGCTGCAATCTCGCCGAGAAGGATTGCTACTGCTTTGAAGAGCTGCCGATGTACCACCTTATGGTAGGCTATAATGGTCCGCCCCGACTTCCATTGCTTCTTGCGCTTGAGAAAAACTTTGCCAACCGGGATGGAGGTGGTCTTCTTCCTGTACGCCCATTTGTACCGCTTCTGCAGGTGCCGCGGAATGGCTTCAAGAATAAGGGCCCCGGCTTGATCGGGCTTCAGTGGAGTAGCTGCAAAGGTGCCGGACTGAAGCCAGGTGTTGCGGAGGCCTTTGAAGTAGAGTTGAGGGCAGAAGAACATGAGGTGGTGGTTGTCGTGATCCTCGTTGTGGCATACAAAGTCCTGGCCGAGGTGTCGATGCAGGATGTTGAGTTGATGCTTGGTAAGGAGTTGATGGGTGGATGCGTGCTGCCGATGTTGCTTGAATTGACTGCGTAGGTGCTCCATGAGAGGTGCGTGGAACTGGTCCAGGGGGAGTCCGTGATGCAAGCACCATTTCCGTAAGCGCTCATGAACTTGCACTTCGTAGACCGCGAAGTCCACATAATACGACGCCAGTGCTGAAGTGTAGTGAACGTAATGGGGGGTTCCGGGAAACCGGAACTCATCTAACCCCGCTGCCACATGACCTTGAACATGGGATAGCCAGGGCTGACGTTTTAGCCAGGCTTCGCATTGGCACGATGATGGCCCTGGGGATGTCAAGGGGTAGCAGTCCTGAAATGACGAGAAGTTCCACATGACTGTGTGGACTCGAGGATGAGGAGTCTCGGCCAGCTTCGTACTGGGTAAGTGGAACGGAAGGGCCCAGTTGCGGTGGTCGAGGACGAGACGACGAAGAACTTCTCGGGTGGTCCGTTGATAATGTGGGTGGGACAGCCACGGTAATCGCAATAACAAATTGATCCTGGGTTGCTGAAGTTGACGGAAATCAAGAACTCGTCGGAGAATGTTGCGAACTCGATGCCGATGAGGCTGTTCCACATTACCAGACAACCTGTAGATGGCATAGATGTCCAAGTCCGAGTGCCGTCCACTACGGAGTCGTTTTTCTTCTTCCCAGGATTCAATGTGCTCCGAGGTGAGGCGGGCGATGATGGACCAGGCTTGAGTGTGTTTGAGCGCCACTCGATGAAAGTTCCTGCCATAGACTGTGCAACTCCTTCTGCGCAGCCGGAGGAAAAGGCGTTTGCCGAACCTGGACCAGGGTTGTTCTGCAAGAAACCTGGTGGCCGTGTAGCCGGTGGAGATGCGCTTGTATCGCCAATGAATGTAGGGCCAATTAAGCGACGGCTGATAAATGCTGATCAAGGCATGTTCCTGAGTCCAGGTGACCTTGTGGTCGGGGTCTGTCAGGATGACCCAAGTAGCAAACTCGTCATAGTTGTCAAAGTGATGCCACCATCTGAGTGCTGGTTCCGCATTGATAAATAAATTGTCCGTGTTGAATACCCAGCAACTTGGCTCTACGATTGTGTTCTCGACTGGGATAAGTGATGCTGGTGCTTCCAATGTATACATCAGACTGCGGGTTGACGGAGCGTGGAAGGTCCGGGCGGAGTTCGACTCGCTGCTTCCAGTACACCGCATTGGGCTGCGAGAAGTGGGTGAAGGTGTACATGTTCGGGTGGATGCGTAAACGTCGTAGTCGGCGCCTGAGTTCTGTAAGTGCATGCGTGGGACGACCGTAGTGATGAACCATGAGCAGCGTGGACAGGGACTCGGTCCACATAGATAGTTGCTTATTGACCATCGGCATGTTGAGGATTCTGCGATTTGTGATGATGACCAGATAGAGGACCTGATAATATTGATAGGATGCGTGGACGTCGAGTGACTCGCCGAGTCTTAGTGCAATAAGCGCCGTGAGGTAGGGAAGGAAATAGTCGGTGCCGTGCTGCAGGCTGACTGGCCACACGGGCTCAGGAATACCATAGTGTCTGGCAGCACCGCATAGTTCTGACCGTTCATACTTGCCGTAGAGCTGCAAAAGAAACACCGTCTCCGGAGATTGAATGACCGGCATGGCTTAGCCATGCATCACATGCTCGAGCACTGAACTGTTAAGTGGATCAACTTAGAACGACACCGGCTCGTAACCCCAGGGTCCTAAAAGAGAAAAAGAACAGGAAAACGAAAAGGGAAAGAGAAACGCCAACTGATGGTCTCAGGGCAAGGTTCAAGCGCACCGAGCAGCAGGGCCTTTTGTGCCAGTCGTTTCACAGCGTGCTCACGTCCTCCATCGTGAGCGCTACAATCTCGCCTCTCACTTTCCATACATGTACAAAACCGTGATGAACTGTAGGAGTGCTCGCTTCGATCCCTTGCTCACCAAGGAGATGGTGGCGCCCCACTTGACTGCAATGGTTTTCAGCTGCTCCACCGTGTCCGATGCTAGCTCCTGCTTGATGAGATCGAGGTAAGTCGCTTGGTTGGACAGCGTGCGTTCGCGCAACCACGCTTTGAAGACTTTGTCCGTGAGGCTGGCGGGAAGTGGTACCTGTTGGCCCTTGGGATTGCCCTGACGTAGAAGTTCTGGATCTAAGGTGATGTCCGGGGCAACCTCCGGGGTCTTGCGCCTGCCGGCCGTCTTTTGGGAGCTGGATCAGCCTCCGGAGATGGAACTGGTAGGGGAGGTCCCTGAGCATCCGACCTCGCCGCGTTGATGTAGAGGGACTGGTCAGAGCGGCCAGGTGTGGGAGTCCATGATGCGGTATTGGAAGGAGACGAGGATGGCTGCTTCTTGTCCGGTGTGAGAGTGATGCCTTTGTTCTTGTAGCGTTCAAGCTGTTGTTCCAATTCGGCAATTTTGTGGCGAGTGAGGTTCTCCTGCTTGGCGGGCTGCAGCGACTCTATGAGATCCACGATTTTGAGCGCAAGTGGCTCCATAAACTGCATAGCCTCGTTGCGCTTGTCCGGCGCATTGTCCGCGTGGAGGGAGCGGGCCGTCCGGTCGATGTCGACCTCCCTGCCTCGCAAGGCTTTGAGAATTGATGTCAATAACACCGCCTCGGCTATTGTCTGAGCCATTACCGGTGTACTGTATCGCCCGTTCGACAGCGCTCGGAGTGCGTGATCTTCTGCTCCTCCTCGAAGAAGACGTGTCAGTGGGAGATCTAAGATTGCTGTTCCTGCGAGCCCGACTCTTCTGGACCACTGAGTGGGTTGAATGTGACGGTATAGTTGCAGGCCGCGGACTTCCGTCTTGTCGAGGAAGACGTCATCAGATTGAAAGGTGCTGGGGAGTAGCTGCGCATATCGAGGCTGAGTGTACTGCGTTGCATCGCCTTGGCCTAGGGGCGCACGGGCCTGAAGTTGAACTGGTGGTGCTGGTGGTGGGGGCCGAGGACCTGTCTGCATGTGGGTTGTGCCGCCGCCATGATAGTTGTAGAACTGACCAGGAGGCTGAGGAGGGAACTGGTGAGCCATATGTAGAGGCCGAGGAGGATTGACTCGGGGCGCTGCTTCCTCTCGAGGTTGGTGCTGCATGGATTCCATCCGATTGGAGCTCGAATAGGCTTCCTGCTGAGACTGCGGTACTGACCATGATGGAAGGTACGAGGACCCCGGTTGCGAGGAGGAGGGTGCCGACGTCGCCGGCCACGAATAGGTCCACTGAGAAGCCATCACGGGATGGGGGTTCATCTTCGACACTTGCTGATTGATTGATTAAACGCTAGGCATACGGCACGAATTGTCGAAACGACAAAAGATTTGCAACCAAGCCCAGAGCCTTTAAAGTAAACGAGAAACAGCGATCATCACAGCAGGTCAGCACAATGCAAATGAAAACCTCAAGAAGACCAACAAAATAAAGTCGTGCTTGAGTCATAAGGCCCTAGCGTGCACTTTTTGTCGCAAAATATCGTCGGCGGTCGAAGACGGCAGTGTGGCGAAGAATGCTCTTATTTGCAATGAAACATCATTAATTGTCATCGGGCGCAGCAGCTCTTGGTGCAGGTTCACGAGCGGAGGACACCTGTGGGCGCTTTCGCGTCGGTAGGCCATGCGAGTCCCTTGCTTCTGGAATCACCATCCAACACTTGCCCGACACATAGTGGATGACGTCAGGACGTTCACTGGAATCCAAGGCCTCAATGCAAGCTTGCTCTCCTCCTGAACGAATCGGCTGACAGGTACCGACAGCGCGCCCAAACAGCAGCAGTTGGGCCATGTTGAAAGACATGCTCCAATTCTGGCTCATCGTGCGGGCAATTTCTTCAGCATCGTAATCGGCGTGTGTAGTGATATAAAACCTTGGGCGTAAAAGGCTGGGCAGAAGGATGTATCTGTCGGCTTCGTAGTATGCCTCTGGTGCCGCCGACACTGGATGCGTGAGTCCAGAGCAGCATGGGCCGCGTCTTTGTTGGTTCCTTGAGCCGAACTGTGGCGCCAAGGTAGGGGATGGTCAGCATGAACCAGTGTGGAGTGATCTTGGGGTAGTGATGTTCCGGGTTGACCTTGGCATAGTTCAGGGTGGAGTGCTGAGATGGTATTCCTGCTGCATTTAGAGTAGCGGCCACATAGTCCATCTGCTCCTGATTGACCGGGATCCCGTCGCGGACGTACGGCGAGGCGAGCACCTGAAGTTCGTTCCTCCACGGGTCTGACTCCGGGTTGGGAAGCAAGATCAGCGGTGGGTGCACCTGCGGATTGGGACGCAGCTGCATGCTTCTCGAGGATGACTCCGTGACTGGATGAGCACCGGTGGCCTTGGAGGCTGGAGCCGATGGGGCACTGCTTCTGCTGCGCGGAAGTGGGGATCTGTTGCTTCTCGGCCGCCGGGATGAAGCTTTGGTTGCCGTAGGCACTCGGGATGAGGATTTAGCTGCTGTGGGCGCTGAAGCGGCGAGAGCCGGTGCTGCCGTGGTTGAATTATCCGATTTTGCGTCCCTTCGGGAGATCGGTGGTGGCGTCCTGGAGCGAGCTCGACTGCGACGCTGTGGAGGCACTGACTTGGAGTAGGGGGATGCGTTATGGGAACGTGACCGTTCTCCCTCCGTTGCGTGGCGTGATCTTGCCGGTGGGTTGGTCGGTGGTAGCATCTGACCTGATGGAGTTGCCGTAGGGGTCGGTGCGATAGGGGTCGGTGCGGTGGTCTGAGATGGACATGCTGTAGCTGGAGCCGTTGGGGTAGTCGGCGTCATTGGGGTCATTGGAGTCATCGGGGTTGCGCCTTCACCAGGATTTGCGGCAGTGGGCCAGCAACGGATGCAGGCCAGGTAGGTGACGATGCCGAGGCGTCACCGGGAGCAAGGGCTGGAACCGAAGGTTTGGTAGCCCTTGAGGTACTAGACAACGTGCCAGAGATGCTGGAGGTCGGTGTTCCTGCTCGGTGATGCTGTCTGGCTCACTGGTGATCTGGGTGGCGTAGGACCCGCAGTGTTCCTGGATGCCTTGGTCATGGGGCCTGCTGAGTTCGACATCGGACCTGCGTTGGGCCGTGGCATCTGTTGCCTGCAATTGCAAGCCAAGAGCAAACTGACGGCGTCATGGATTCATGCCTGATGTGTCAGGTAAGGTCTGGCAGTGGGTCAACTGGGAAAGTCAACCATGAAATAATCTGGGGTGCTAAGCCTGTGGTGAAGGGTCTATGGAAAAAGTCCAGATTCGCGAGCGACAAGGTCCGGTGGTTGTCTGAAGAAGGTGTCGATACATGGGTCATAACAGGTGCCCGCAAAGGGGATCAAGACACTGACCGAAGCCCGGACGCAGTGCCTAAACACACTTGATATGAGACGGCGAAACTGCCATGGTGCACCCCCGAGCAACTGAAAGGTGAAAAAGCGGAAAGCGGAAAGTGGAGTTTCGGCACAACGTACATGCTTCGTCTTTCCTTCGTGTGGCCCTCATCAGGGATGCCATCTGCCACACCAAGTACTCCACGAGCAGAGGTCCATTGCGGTGGCATCCGACTCCAAAAATAGACACAGCCGCGGAACCCCTTAGAAACAGGGGGCCACACACACACACACACACACACACACACACACACATCGGTCAGGGAGTCTTGCCTGCCGGAGGCGTCGGAAGTGCTCGGCCCGGCATCTTGGGCGGTGGCTTGGGCGGATGCCTCCCGCTGGCAGGCTGCACTCGCGGCAAAGCACCGGCGGGCCACTTTAAAGGGGATCCTCCTGGTATCGCAGAAAGTGACCTGAACATTTTGCCTTAAAACTCAAAACCCCAATTCCCACAGCTGCAAAAACACCCATGCTCAAAGCATTCCAAAGCGTTCCGAAGTGCAAGTATGCCAATCGCCCCGTGGCTCCCGGGCTCCCGGCATGCTCTTGACGACCTGCCCTGGTCGCACTTTGGCGAGCCGCCGGACCTCGAGGCGATTCGTGGCCCAAAAATTCCAAATGGCCGTGGACCCGTCAAAAGTCGGCTAGCCCCCAGTGAACATCCCAATCCAACCACTAAAATCCCGACCAAACGGGTGAATTCACCTACCCCAAAATGGGATGCCATGGGTTTTGACCCACGGCCAAGTGGGAAGTCTGGCTGAGACGGGCACCGCCACCAGTGGCTCGCCATCCTCCGGAGGCAGCGGGCCCCTCTCAGCCCTGGCGCGGGGCAAAGGAGCTGCGCTTCGATGCACATTGCCCCACGAGGCCCCGACGCCGGAAGTTTGGGGCCGGGCGGGGGGGCCGGCAGCGGCGGCGGCGGTGGCGCAATACCTAGGTTCTCGAACTTGTACTCAAATATCGAAAGGGATCAAAACCTCATTAACCATTCCCTTGTGCATCCCTCCAAAGTTGAAAGGGGCATTTGCCATCAGGGTTTGCCTTTTCGACTGAAATGAACAGCCTCCCTTGAAAAGGGTTTCTACACTACCAGGGGGCCTGCTTATTTGTCCCACAAACAGTGGAAAAGGCAAACCATGAAAATTGCCATCGTCCCTGGCGCCATCACTTGTTGGACCCAAGGTCAACGCTTGAAGCCCGAGGGGGCTAGTCCTCGGGTTTTCGCCCGGGCTTGGCCCCAAGCCAGCGGTGTGCTTCTGCACCATCGGCACCTCACGCCGGAAAGTGGGAGGCCCTTTCCACTGAAGGATTTAGGAGCCCAGTGCTTCCAGTTACCACTCTAGTAAGCAGGGCAAAGCATCATGTAAAACCTAGAGTTTAGGGTCCCTGGTTGCCTACTATAGTTCCCCTGGTTACCTACTATAGTGGCAACTGTGAAGCACTGGGAGTCGCAAAAAACAAAGCGCAGCTGGCGCGCTGGGCCCTGCACCCTCGACAGAATGGAGGACGGCAAGTCCAGCGGCGCTTGCTTGGGGACATCCAGCCTGGCCAGTTGCCGCGGCCGGGCGTGAGCGCAGTCAGGGACCAGCCTGAGGCTGCCCCCAGCATGGCGCAGGGGAGACTCGTAGGCCACGGGAGGCTCGTCCACCACACCCTGGGACATCCGGGCGGCTCGCATCAAGGGTCCGGTTGTTTTTTGGGGAATGTTTCCGTGTTTTTGTTTGAATTCTTCCTGGATTTCCAGTCTTTGGGCTGGCGGGTGCAATCTCCCCAGGCTCTGCTGTGGTTTTGACGGCATTCACCAGTATGTGCCCTTGCGCGCTCCAGAACAAGTGCATTTTCCCGCACGCGTGTGATGGCGTTAGCACCGAGTTAGTACAGTTACTTGCGTACTTCATCAACAGTTTCTCAATTTGTGCAGTACTGGCTGCTGAATTGTCCAAGCTGCGGCAGTTCTTCCTGCTTTTGAAAACTTGCTGGGTGCTGCTACATGCGGTCATCCAGGTGCATTTGGCCACATGCATGAACGGGGCCAAGTTTGATGTGCTTTTGTCCTGGTAATTTGTTTGTTTTCACTCCCGCTGTTAAAATGCTGTGGTTTCTATCATGCCCAGGCAAACTGCAAGGTGGGGTTGATTCAGGGTGGGTTTAGGGCTGGTTTAGGGTTTAGCGTTTAGGCTGTGGTTGTGCTTCAGGGCTTGGGGTGGTATAGGGTAGGTTTAAAGTTTAGGGCGGCTTAGGGATGGTTCAGTACTGGTTTGGTTTGGGGTGCGCGGTTGGCATAGGGTTGGTGTGGTTCGAGCCATTCGCGAAGGACCGGGTCCGTGTGCCAGAAACCCATTGAACTCGGTGAAGCTTTCCCAAGCTGGGGCCTTGCTACCTGGCAGAAAGGTGTATCTTGAAAAGGTGTTCACCCTGCTGACCTGATTCTGGCTCCAGTGTTCTGTTTTGGCTTCAATTGGCAAGGTGTCAAGCGGGGCTTTCCATAAGGCTGCCCCCTGTTTTCTGCAAGGCTTGTCTGACGCTTGTAGGATTTTGTCTGGTCCATTTTAGAGTGGTTGGGCGGGCTTAAAGTGAGTTTAGGGTTGGTTCAGGCTTGGGGTGGGTTGGAATCACACGCCCTCGAAATCGGGCTCCGACGGGAGGAGGCGGCGCCCTGCTCCGACTTGACTCCCCGCCTCGGACGACAAGAAGGCGACAACACGTGGCCCAAAGCCGCGAGGGAAAGTCCCAGATGAGCAAACGAGGTGATATTCAACCAGGTCCTCCAGAGAGGTTAGAATGAGGGTGCCCAATTTTTTCTGTAGTCTATTTTAGTAGGGGAACCCTCCCCCAAAAAAGGGTAAAAGGGCACTACTGGGGGACCTAGTCAGCACCACCAAAAAGAGGATGCTAGGGTGGATTGTTGACCAGTCCCCCCCCCATTTTGGAAACTTGGTTGGCCAATAGGATGAGTTGGGGTGCAACCCATTGTGCAACCCATGTTTGACAAAATCCGGATTCCTTTCAGAAAAAACACCACTCCCAATCTGCCAGGTTTATCAATTAGGGGTCGACACAAGGAGATACGATTGCCATGGACCACCAATTCCCTGTGCAACCACCATCTTTCCAAGGCTTTCAATCAAAACCTGCTCGGATCTAGAGAGCCGGGTGACCGGGAAGGGCGGCATGTCAGGCTCCGACGTTCTGAGTGCAAGTCCTCGCAGCCTCTTACCCGTGCTCTCCATGCGGTCGGAGTGCCACCCCCCCTTTTCTCAGATTGCGGTCGATTTCGCTGGGCAGCCGGCCGGATCTCACCGTGCTCAGCTGCACCAAAGACCTCAAAGCGCTTTGCATCTTCATGTCCCAAGGTCCTAAAGCGAAAGGCTGCGTCCCTTCACCGTGCAAAACAAAACCCTCGCCTCAAGGGCGGCAGCTTTGGAAGAGGTGGGGGTGGGCTGCTCCTGCGCACGTGTCCCATGTCAGGTTGCACGTGTGCATCGGGCTCGTCCTGGGCTGAGTGCTTGGCAGGGGCAGCTGGGGCACCGCCACCTGAACTCCTTTTGGGGTTACCTTAGCTTTGCGCCCGCGGCCGTCGTATCTACCCACATGGGTATGAATTTTAATAAGGGACCCTTTGGTGGACATCATTTCGGTGGGGATTCATGTCCATCACTTTTGAGGTGGCTCCCTGTCAAAACTCATGGCCACATTGCCGTGATGTGAGCTTGCAAGCGCTGCAAGGAGTCAGTCGGCTGGGGGCCCGGCAAAAAACATCTTGCTCATCGGCGGCGGCGTCTTGGGTGGCCTGGCGACGCATTCGACGACATCATTTGGCGTCACGCTGACGACGGGACGACTCACCTACCCTGCACATGGTCAATCTTCCCAACTATCCGCCGACCCTGGAAGGGGTGGTCTTGTGGTTAGTACTGTAGGCCTCTCCATTGGCGATCTTTGGATTTAGTTTTTGCAGCGAATTGAGGATTGGCTTGGAAACCATGGAATTCATAGAACGTCCCTTGGCCCGAAGGCTACCTACTGAACTTGGCTTGCATAGGACATAGCAGGAACAACATCGCCTAAAAGAAGTCGGAGAGAGCCACCCAGGAGATACACTTCGAAAACAAGCCGAGCTCTTCTATTTTCCATAATCCCGACTCCAACTTGAACCCGGGAAGCCTCAAATTCCAACTTGAACCCGGAAAAAGCCGCTGGAAAAACCCGCCGGTTCCTTGCGTGTACCCCTTTCAGGGTCTGGTGGCCCGCTTGCGCGCCGCTTGCGCGCCGGAGCGCGCGGCTGTCCGCGCCTGGGTCCGCTGGAGCCCTTCGGCGGCGGCGCCGGCTTGGGCGCCCCGTCCGCGATGGCCTGCAGGGGCGTTTTTTTTTTGGGGGGGGTGTGTGCTTCTTCACACGGGGAAAAGCCTCAGCTGAGGACAGGGCCGGGAAAGGCCTCAACTGAGGGCAGGGCAAAACCTCTAGGGATAATTAACTTCTTCTTTCATATTCTTTCCAGGGATTTTAATCTTTCTAGAAAACCTCCAAAAACCCTAGGGGAAATGGCTGGTTTTGACAAGAACGATGGCTGAAAAGAATGGGAAATCAACCCCTAGAATGACGAATTTTGGTCTCTAACTCTGAAACTCATGGATGGGCACCTGTCCAGCAAAACATCTCAGGAAGGATTTCTTGTTTTGGGTTCATAAGCTCCGTATCGGCAACTCCTTTTGTGAGGACTTCCTTTTGTGCTAGGCCATGGCACGCGAGGTTCAGTCAAGAAGCATGGGATGTGGGCTAGATATATCTAACATTTGAGGGGGCACCTCCCCCCCCCGTTGCAGAGACCTTGCTAAAGCAAGGAAGTACTCAAGGTGGCCACTAAAAGGCTACCTTTCATGAAATCGAAGAGCGGTGATAGCCAATCCTGAGGAAATGTATGGAAGGCAGAGTTTTGGTCACAAAGGCTCAGGACCTGCTTTTCTTTTTTTTAAGGGCTGCTGCGTTGCTTGTGTTGCAAGCAGCTGGTTGACTGGCGGCCCTCAGCTTGGTGTCCAAAACCACTTCTGGGCCAACATCTTTCAGGGTACGGGGAAACTTGCTGGTGCTCGGCAAATGAGGGAGTGACCCCAACAATAACCAAAAAAGCAATCCTTGCTTTCTTCAAGGGAATCCTCAGGTTCGTTCCAAAACCCGGAAGGTCATCCCCCGACCTATCGCACCAGCACGTGGCCCGCTGGCCGCCGAGCCGCCCTCCGGCCTTCAAGTTCCCTTGGGGCAAAGGCGGCAGCTCTGGCAACGTCAGGCCGAAAGGACCGATCCTTAGCTTCGAACTTCACGAGGTGCTCACGAAAAACACGCGACGTCGGTGTTGAAAGAGAAGCTCCCCCCCCCACACCAAAAAAAAGAGAAAGAGGTCCAGATTTGCTGCGCGAACCGGCCAAGCCAAAGGTGTCGCGCGTGTCGCCCTTTAAAGCACAAGCGTACCTCCCCAAAGCTTTCAGCGCCGATTGGCTCGGCCGAAAGCTCAGGGAGTCCCTATTAGAAGCAACCTGAAGCCAAGCCCTGGATGTTAATTAATGGATTTGGTTCACCCCGTGCACCGGAGGGGGTTGGCACAAAATCGGGGGGTTGGTTGGCACCGGAGATCTGAGGTCTGCTCGAGCCCGGTGTGAGCTGGGAGAGGTCCGAGAAGCCTGGCTAAGCGGGAGTTTTGCCTTGGATCCTGACGTGGGATCTGAGTGCTCCAGCTGGCTACTTGGACTTTTGGACAAGAAATCCAACACCAAAAGGCCGGCCGTCCTTGCCAGGGGAACCCATTTTGAGGTTACCCTATTCTGGCCTTTTGGAAAAAACCCAACAACACCGAAAGGTCACAAACGGGATCGTTCAAAATTAAACCACCAAATGGAACGCAGGTTTTAGTCTGGCTCCATTTAAGGGTAACCTATTTTGGGGCTACCCTATTTGACCCGCACCCAAACTGCAAAGGCTAAGCACTTGCTCTTGAGCCTCTTGATTGCACGCCGATTCACTGGTCCCTAGCTCATACCTCTTGCCTTCAACCTTCTTTTTCCAGGGCTTGCAGGTTCAAAGCGGCCACGAACCCCTGAAGCAAATTTACCCACCGCTATGTTCAAACTGCCAAACGCTTGGCCCAATCCAAACCACCAATTGGATTTGGGTCAAAAAATAGGTACCGAAAATGGGTTTCCCTTCTAAACAGAACCAAGGACTATTTCCTGCGGTCCATATCCTAGTGGTTTCATCTTGACCCATACCCCATCCAGAAAAAGCTCGACCCCCGCCAAAACAAAAAGAAACCGCGCGCCTGTGAGACCTAACTCCGGCGTAGCGTCCGGCGAGCGAGCTCTTGCAGGAAGATGCCCAGGCGGCGCTGGCCCCTGGCATTTTGCTTGTTTTCCCGTTCCAATGGGAAACGTCGGGTGTAGGGTTTGGGGTTTAGGGTTTGAGGTTTGGGGTTTAGGGTTTGAGGCTTTCAAACGCCAAGTGGCGTGCCCCAAAAAGTTGGCTCTGGGCTGCTTCTGCTTTGGTGTCTGGCGAGCCTGAACCAGCGGGGATTCCGCAAAAGGGGAATCCCCATGCAAACGGGCTCGCAACGCCTGGGTTTTGTGGAATGTGTAGCAATTGGACAGACCATACAACCCGACTGGAAATACGGTTGCGAAATCCATTTCGCACCAAAGAAACCCTGCCGGTAAATACTCATAAGCAATGTTTCAACCATGGTTTCCAAGCGGTGCAACATTTCGTTCATCCACCAGCTTCGCAGTGTACTTGGACCCCATGTTGAGACACAGATTCAATACGTGCGATGCCTAGGGTTTCCTGAAGTTCGAGGGCCCGTCCCATGTGAGCTTGTCAATGTTTTGCTTGCAGTGCTGACTTTCAATCCAACATGTTTCCTTCAGGTCGGTGTTGTTCTTCGTGTTTTCGGCTTCCTATGATTGCTTAGCGATTGACGCTGGTACGCGGCTGACTGGTTTAGCTTGTCTGGATTTGAAGTATCTGATTCTGCTTCAGCTGCTCCGGCATTTGCACGTGCATACGCGGTGAATCTGCTTCTCATAAACATACAGTACCCAAAGCTTTGTTCGAAACCTGACCGGACCAGTAGGGGCTCAGTCTCATCAGGGGGTTGGTTTCAAGCTTCAAGAAATATGAAATCCAGCATCAAACCCTTGATTATCCTTGATTCATCAACAAAAGCTAGCTTCACGCTGGAGCCATTCTCCTCAACATGGAAATGCACCAATGGGATCCACATGTTTCAATAGAATGGCAATCTACACCTTACTGTCAGCTTTCATGAATGGAAAGAAGGTAGCAGGCGCACACATTCTCAGAAAGATTCACCCTTTGCCCAGCGTCGAGCCCTGGAATGCTTGACTTGATGGAATATGAGCTTCCCCGTGCACGTGTTCCGAGTACTAATTAGATTGCCACACAAAAAAAATAATAATAATCACAAATGCGCATCTGAGATATCTCCTGAACGAAGCAGCCTGTTAACCTGCTGTCAACTCACCAACATAGCACCATGTTGGACCATTCCATCTGGTTTTCACATGTTTTCACACACGAGTCGAGTCATGATCAAAACCCGGTATCAGCATCTTCTACCTAGAGCAATGTAAACAATGCAAAAGACGGATTCCCGCTCCCATTTAACCTTCATCTTCCCAACAAACCCTTATCCAAAGGGTAACCTCCAAACATCCTCATGGCCATCCTGACCCGTCCTCTGAATCCAAGGTTTGGACAATCGCTTAACCTTCATCTCCCCGGGTCCCACATGGCTCACATGGGTCAACATCTGTCTGGACCCCAGGCTGGCAGGTCCCCCCCGTCCCCCCGTCCCCCCCGGCCTGCGGCGGTTTCGGGAGCTGCGGTGGTCGCGCAGGCGGCTGTGGCCGGCCCTTGGTGGACCTCAGAGCTCTTCGAATCTTTTCCATTTGGCGAAGACCCTGGAAAAAAATTAAATAAAAAATGTGTCCAGTAGTGATAAATTTCTTTAACACCAACAAGGGGAAACAAAACATTTGAGCAAATGGAAGAGCTACAGCTCCAAAACCGGAGTTGACAAGCCTCCAAGACCAAAATCTGCCAACTCTTGGCCCAGTCTGGCCGCGGGTCAAAACCAACGGTACCCCACCAAAATAGGTGGCGAATGGAAACCCCAAATGGCTCGCCATAGGTTGTGCCCCATAAAACCAATTGTATTCCTGGTGAACATCAAAATAGGTGGCGAATGGATGTTCATCCACCCCAAAATGGCTCGCAGGTTTTGCAACCCATGGCCATCGGAAGTCAGAGACCTCGCAAACGTTTTCCTTCAAAGGTCAAAAAAACTCCCCGAGCTCACGGTCAATGACGCAAAGTAGCATCCACCTCAAGGGGAGGTTCAAAGAAACAATTGACATTGACATACCCCAAATCAAGCGCAAAATTCCCCCCCCGACCTCGGTGGTAGGTAGGTTGGGGGGGGGAGGGTATTTCTAGAGAGCGTGGGGCAGGGGGTAATTTTATGTTCCGCTTCTGTCCTGTCCTGTCCTCTGGCTGAAGGTGGCAACCTGTATAGTCCTCATCCGCATCTGCTCAGAACATGCGCCGCTTCAACACACCGAGGCGCAAACACAGTCACACACACTCAAACACAAAGCATCATTTGGGTGTGGCTCAAAAATTGGTATCCAAAATCAACCCTGGTAAATGGAAACATGGACTAAACTCTGCGGTCCCCTGGTGGTTTAATTTTGACCCATACCCATTTGCTTTTACACGCGGCGCCGTCTGCATCCGGCCCATTGGCCCATCTGACCACCACATGTTGAGCTCGTGGAATGCTCCGCTGGGCCATGAACTTCGAGCCGCTCCGTGGCCGATATCTCTGCCGATCTGGTTTGCGCGAACCAGAGCTTGGGCGCGCTCGTTTTTTCACATGGACGGAAGTTGGCTTTTTCAACCTACCACCCGAACCACCTTTGAAGGGTTGACATAGAGCTGGAGCTCCTGCGATACTTGGACTGCAAGAAGCCGTGGTCATACTCTTCGATGGTCCAGCCCAGTTCATCCAGCATGCGCCAGTGCTCCGTGTCAGGCACCGCGTGGCGCGCCCGGTAGCGCGACAAGGCGTGCCGTTCCTCCGGGTCGATCTTTTCGTCACGCACCACCAGCGACAGCAGCTCGAAGTATCCTTCCAGCGCTTTGCCCTTCGCGCCCGCACTGATCTTCGAAGCCAAGCTGACGTTGCACCTGGGCCAATTTCAACATACTTGCGTGGTTGGGCAGGTACTCAAACTTCCCAAGTCAACGTCCGGGCCGTGGGTGGGTCCAAATGGAGCCAAGCAGCATGTTCTCCATCGCCTTGCCCAAAGCCTCGTCTGAGCCCACTCGACAGGTGAAGCTGGCAACTGGCCATTCCAGCACCTGAGCCGCTGAGCCATGTGGCACTATTGGTGCGCGCATGCGTGCCTTGGAGGATCAATCATTTCGGTGCCAACACACCAACTTGCGCTTGATAAGATAGTCTTCAAGACTGCTTCCCGACAGTTCTGACTACATGCTAGCTTCCGTTGGATCAACAGCCACATGAGCAGCGCCCAACACCCACACGTGCTTGTAGCTCTACTGAGATGATTCTCCAGGCCCTCTACTGTACACGCAAACACTCCTTCCATTTGCTTTAAAAAGCATACATACATATCTCTACGTATATATATATATATATATATTATACATATCCTTCCACTGGTGGTAGATTCCCTTTCAACACCAAGCGGGTTGGAAAAAGAGCACATGTTCAGCACATGGTTGAGACACCAGGCTCGCGCAGACTGTAACCTCAGGCGCCGGCCCGGCAGCCCTGCTGGCCAGCTCGCACGGTGCCGTTCCAAGTGGACCCAGCCTCAGGGCAGCTGACCGCACAGCACATGGACCGACTCCAGAGGCCTGATTTGGTGCGTTTCAACAAGGTAAACCATCCAGAAAGGGTGAGAAATGGTGAGAACCAGGCATTTGGGGAGTGGTCACCGGCTTTGTCGCCTGGTGACGCCCTGCCACATTTAGGCTTTCTTTTCTTAATCTCATACCCACTTCGCTGTGGGTCAAAACCAATGGTACCCCTGGTGAACATCAAAATAGGCGGCGAATGGATGTCCATCCACCCCATGGCTCGCCAGTTGTGCCCCGTGGCCATTTGGCACCCAGGCCTGCAGCTGCGTCTCAGCGCCCACGCGCTCCTCCAAGCCCCCCGAGAGCAGCTGCCGCAGGTCCTTCGGCGAGCGAAGTCGCCTGGCGATCACACGCCGCTGTCGCCCCAAACCCATGACCACGCTATACACGGGGGCATGTGTGTGTGCACCGATATATATATATATATGTATATATATATACATATTGTATACATATGTTTTTACATGATAGATCAAGATGTGAAACCATACGCATGCATATGCATTTGCATGTTGGCACCTTCAACTACTCTGCTGTCTTGTTTTCCGTCCTGTCATTGCGCAGGGAAAATCAACAAGCGAACTGTAAAGGTGCTCCATGTCCTTGCGCAGCTCCAGTTGCATTCTAATCGAGAGGGAGGCAAATTGCAGCTAAAAAACCTGACTACATGTATATGTGTCTTGTTTGTCTTTTCCTTTCCTTTATGGGGAGAGGGGGAGGGTATCATGTTTTCCTTATACAACTGAAAAGTACATATATTATCTATCTATATGCACATGTGTATATATATATATGTGCCTATGTGTGGACTATGTTGTGCTGATATTATGTTCACACATGTTCATGATATATCTGATTATCTGATCATTAAAAATCGGCCAGCGGGACCGCATGAAGCAAGGGATTGGGATTGAACATGCATCCTTGAATGCCCGCACCTGGCCCCCCTCTCAAAGAATCAATGCGGGGTGGCCGTATACCGTACAGTGATTCCCCCAAAACAATGGAACGTCCAAAGACAAAGTCTGGAGGTGTTGGCGCTAAAACTGAGACACCCCCAGCACCGTATAATTGTGCAGAGCCCACTATGAAGCAAACGTGCACTGAGTGCCCCACATCAACTGCAGAACACGGTGCACCATGACTTGATTGGGTGGACCGGCCTTGAAACACAAGAGCACAACGGTGCCAAAAGCAGACCGAAGTGTGAAGCGAAGCGAGCGAAAAGAGCGGCGAGAAGACCGGAAAAAGGAGCGAAGCTGCAATCAGGCAGGGGGGCGATATTTCATTGGTTTTGCGGCCGGGCAAAGCCCCAGACCCCCTCAGTCTAGCCTTGACGCAAGGACAAACTCAAGCTCGCCTCCTTGAGGCTACCTTTCGTGACTTGGCGCGCGCGCCTCATTGCGCACTTCTCGATCAGCCACTCGTCCTCTGCACTCTCCGGCTCCTCTGGCCTGGGGCCGAGCCGTGCCAGTTCGTTGGACTCGGCTAGGCTGGTCGCATCCAACCAAAATCAAGGGAGCCCAACTTTACAACCCTTGGTGTGGTTCCAAACAACCTGGTTTTTGCCGCCCCTTACCAAAAATGAGCAGAACCAAAACAACCCCCCCAAAAAAAGGACGAAACACTTGCCAACAAAAAAAATAAATCACCAAACCAGCCCGCATCCGGTCCCGGCTGCTTGCCGGGGCGCTCCGCTTCCGGCAGGGCGGTGCCGAGGTACTCCGCCCGCCAGATCCGGGGCTGCAGCTGCCCGATGAAGACGTCCTGGCCGGCTCTTGGGCTCCGCAGGCGGAAGCGACGGGTACACGAGTCCCGGGTGTTGGGAATGAACCGGTTTTGGGGATTCACGAAAACCAAACGGGGGGGGGGGGGGGGGTTGAGTGGGGTCGTTCCAAGTCTCATTTTTGCTGAGAACCAGCAGGAATGTGTCGGTTGGAAGCCAGAAATGATGAAATGGCACAGTTGACAGGCTGCCGCAACAAAATGGTCGCTTGGGGGAAGGATGCAGGCCGTGAGGCTTCGTGTCATCGCCCCTCTCACGGTGAAACGATTCCAACCATGTTTCGCCAGCTATGAAACACCTGATTCGGGAAAGCCATAAGGAAGTCTTGGGGAAGGGTAGGGACTTTCAAGCCTTGTTTTGTGGTTTGGTGGGGTGGTTTCCTAGGTACCCTTTACAAGAAGGGGGCCAAATCCCAAACCAATGAGACAAGACCTGACCGAAGGCTCTCAGAACCTTTCGTGGGAGATGCGTTTTGGAGAGGCTCCCTGTCCTGGTGGTACTCCAAAACGGGACATCCCCCGACACGCTCGCCGACGCAGGAGCCGTGCGTCACAAAGATGATCCGCTGAACCGGCTTCCCGTACTGCGTGATGCAGGCGCCCGGCTCGTAGTCCCGGAATCTCGCCCCTGCATCCTTGACTGGACCTAGAACCCAAACAAACAAACAAACAAACAAGCAAGCAACCAAGCAACCAAGCAAACAAACAAACAAACAAACAAACAAAACCACCCCCACCCCACCCCCCCACCCCCAAAAAAAAAAGAAGAGCGAGCAACGAAGCAAACAAAACAAACAATCACCATAACAATCACAAGGACGATCGCAGCCTTCAGCTGCTGATTCTGAATGACTGTTGGCCCCCCTTTCCCCAAAAACAGAGCACACGTCGCCTAGGGCAAAATCGCCGCTGAGCCCGGCTGGGCATCCAAGAGTCCAAGAGCTTGCGGAACTGCCGGGGGGTCACCCCATGCACCTGGAAGCCGTGCTCGTAGATGTCCTCCTCCTCCTCGCTGAGCTTCAAGCCGCGGGTCTCGCGCAGCAGCAGCGCGAAGTTCACCAAGTGCAGCGCCGCAAAGGCGCAGCTCCAGGCGATGGAGGTGAGCTGATGGGTCTTCAGCGGCTTGGGCATCAGCCCGTTGTAGCCCACCGACACCAAGGAGGAGATGCCAGACAAGAGGCGCACCACCTCGGTGGCGAAATCTGCTCTGCTAAAAGTGACTAACTGGTCGTGGTTTAATACGGAAAACCCATTAGTGACATCCAAGCAAAATGCACCAAAGCCACGGTGTGGTCCTGCGAAGCAGCGGCGACCAGGGAGGCCAAGTTCCCCAAGGTGGTGACCACCGCCAACTTCTGCGGCGGAAGGACGTGCCAGGGCTTCGGCGCTGACGCCTTCGGAGCATTGGAGGCCTGCCGCGCATGCCGAAAACTCGGCTGCCGGCGAAATGCCGCCGGAAGAAGCCGCAGCATGGCAACGGTTGGGAGAACCGCCCCGAGTCAAAGGAAGCTTGCGGTGGGCACCTGGGTGCAGTCCTCCACTTGACATAAAACATAATGCCTCACTTGCCGAGCTTCAACACGGCCTGCTGGGCTTGGTTCCCAACGCGATTTCCATCATACCCATGGGATATGCCCCCCCCCAGCTCCCATTTGGTCGCGTTGATTTGTAGTTGTTGATTTTGTGCTAGATTGCAGGAAACCAGCCATTTGGGGGGTCCAAATCCCTACTTTGACGGGCCATACCCATTCCCTTAACCCATCGCTTCAAGGACGCCACCCTGAAGATTGGCTCAGCTGCAGGACCGGCATCACCTGATCCGCGTGTCTTGGGGGCGTTTTGGGAACCCAAAGCAAACCACCTGGAGGAATTGGGGATTGGCCCCTGGCTTTGTGAAATTGAAGGCATGGATCCGCAAACTGCCCTCAGAAATCAGATGGGAGCTGGCCCCCCCCCCATTTGCGGCTATCCAGCGGAATTTCGGAATATGATTGTTTGGCACTCATCTGCGGATCCTCCCCTTGGCAGCAAAGAAAGCCCAATATGACCAAGCGCCAAAAGTTACCAAGCACCCCCTTCATGAAACCCAACTTCAGCCTTTCTCATTCGCAGGTCTTGCGCCCCACAAACATCCTTTCTGAGTGGAGCCTGTGCCTCCACAGCCTCAAGTTCAGAACTGGAAAGACTTGGCAAAACGCGAGGAGCCTGGAGTTGTGCCAAAACGAGGGACCCTCTACGGACGGTGTTTTTCTTCTTTTTGTTGAATAAAAAACAACAAACAAACAAACTCGGCGACCACCGAGAGAAGAGTTTCAGCGTTTGGAGGGCTTCCGCTGCCAAGTGTTGACACACCTGTCCTTGATGCACGGTGTCCTTTTGGAGGGCCTTTTTGAAGGCCTGCAGATCTCACTTGCCCAGAGGACCTGCAAATCAAAGGTCAAAGCCTTTGGGGCCCTGACTAAGGGGAACCCAAGATCGGCCAACCAAAAGCTCAAAAACTTGGCTTTGGACTTGCCCGAGAGAAATCTCCGGCGGATTTTTCTCCGACGGCCGCAAGAAAGCTGAGCTTCTGGCCGGCAGTTGCAGGCTGTGCTCTGCGCGTGGTCCTACTTTGGGTTCCGGCGGCCGAACCTTGCCCACCGCAGGCCTGCGCGGGAAAGGGGTCGGTGAGGCTTGGGGGTGGGTCGGGAAACCCACCAAACCAACTTGGGGTTCGGGAAACCCGCCAAGCCAAACAAAGACACGATCTCTGCTTTCTTCGACAGGCGTGACGGCGTTCTCTGCCAAAACCATCACAAGCTCGGAACTCGGATAGTGAAGCGGCCTGCGGGGATATTTGAACGGCTTTGGCTTGGCCTGAGCTCGCGGAAAATCCAAAGTGACAGGATGAACTGCCCCCTTGCTTGGTGATGCCTAGTGATACCCACCGGCCAGCCAAGAATTGCGAAACCATGAAACCAGGCTCAAGTGGCTGCAGGTTGGCTTCCCTGTTGCAAACATCCCACGCTTTTGGCTCTCCTGAAAACTCGCAGTGCTGTCCTACTGCAGTCGAATTGCGACGGTAAAACAGGGTTCAGCCATTATTGAAGAAGTGTAGCTTAAACGATTGCTGCTTAAGTCCTGTCGCGACCGCGCGCTGTGAAAATGTTGAAGTCCCTTTGTTCCTGGCTGAAGCCTCCCAAACCAACACATGGGCGCGCCCTTTTTTCAGGGCACCATGATTTGTTAGGTGGGTTTAGAGGGGGACTAAAGATAAATAAAACGGCACTTTGGTGGTACCTCCATTTTAAGACACATCCACATGTTATTGCGCACAATTATGACATTGACACGCGAAAGCTGAATCTTCCGAATCTGTCACGTACATGCCCTCTCACTTCAGGGAAACCCTCCATGCTTCCCCCGCAAAGGGCCACCTTACCTCCTGAAATCCACAGTTATTTGCAGATGTGCACCAAAAGGGTATGTATGGCTTGGGATAGCGGAATGGCTCTTCCTTCACACGAACAGAATATTGCACGCTGGATGCCCGTATCCCAACTGATGGTCTGACCTGCGACATCCATCGGACCTCCCTGTAACCAGGGTGCGGACTGAAACGGTACCTTTACTGGACAAGGGGATGAAGTTCTGACCAACAGATTTATCATGCCTTGGTCAGCCAATCCTGCCGGCCTCCTCTTTCTAGCGGCTTTCCATGCGCGGACTGTGGGATTCTGACCTGAGCCCGCTGCCTGTTCCCTTAGGGGAATCGGCTGCGCCGGCATAGATCTTGGAGGAGGCTTTGCCAGCATCCTGCGGCCGCTTGATTCACACCGCAAGGCAGCGCTCCGAACCTCCAGGTTTGCTCCAAGCCCGCCTCGACTGCGGAAGCCATTCGAAGCAGAATTCTAAGAACTGGACCTTACGGCGGCCAAAGAGAGAAGCTTGTTCTTTCAAGAGTGGCGTGAACCTGCTCAGCTGGAATCTCCCTGCTCGGCTCCCTTCCGGCTTTTCCTTTGAGAAAAACGCCCCGCAGCACGCTTTTGTTCACCGAAAACCTCCCACAGCACCATCTCTCGAAGAGTTGATGCCAGCTTGTGCCTGGCATGTGGCGAATGCGACTCGGCATGCGCACTTGGCATCGCACGGGAGCTTCGTCTGAGAACCCCCATGAAGGTATCTGGTATCTTTGTTTCGCCGGCGGCCTGTTGTGGGGGCCTCTGATCCCAAAAGAGGGCAGCAGCTCCCTGCTACTGCGAGATTGCGGGGTGGGGGCATCCCAGAAGAAACATGATACAGCTATTCCGCACCTTCGATGCACAAAGACCACGTCAAACCAGCAAACCTTGCCGGCTCCATCGTAGCCTTGGGCACTTCCAATCCCTCTCTCCCCTTCCTCCCCTTCCTCCCCTTCCTCCCCTCCCTCCCCTCCCGCAGTCATCTTCGCAGCAACTGATATCAGTCTCACAGCCTCAGACAAGCTGCATATTCGGTGAGGGGCCAAACACACCTCGAAGACCTCAGGTTGCAAGCCGCTTCACTGGCCCTCTGAACAAACACTGAGACGCAAACGCTATGCCAGTTGGCCTGAGTGCACCAGTCCATTGCCCAACTGGCACACAGCTGACCCAACCCAATGCAGACAACAGTTGCCAAGGCACTCCGGTGATTGGCAACGGCGTTCGGGATCCCACAAAGTAGCCTTCCTCAGGAAAACGAAGCTCGAATGCAGCTTGCAACAACACGAACATGTACCACCAGGGCTGGGAAAGTAGTTGCCTTCCAGGCAGGGCCCTCAAACCACGGGGGGAGCACGCCTTCAATCTTGTTGGATATCTTGTTGGATGTTCTGGAAAAAAGTATGGGTGAAGCAGAAGGAGGGGGAGGAGGGCAAGGTTGAGGTTGGTTGGAGGGGGGCGGGGGGGGAGAGGGCTTTTTGCCAGCAAACTGGCCAACAAATATGGGGGTTGGTCAAGGCTACCTTTGTAATAGCGTGCTGTCTGCAGAAGAGCTTCCTTGGCACGACACTAGCATTTTCGCAAACATGAATAGAGTAATGTTGGACCTCCTTCGGTTATTGGATTCGGGCCGCCATGATCAAAAGTGCTGTTCGCTTTTCCTAATTCGGGATCCCGCAGCTGTTTGCCTTTTACTTTTGAACGGGCCCCACCCGACCCTGCGGTCTGCTCAGCCTGTTTGCACCAGGCGGCGTATCCCATCGAGTCCATCCATTGCATCACGGAGCGCCTAAAAGAGAGCCAATTCACCTCTTGCCAAAGTGGCCATGCGTCAAAACTAGGATCTATGGACCCCATTTATGCGCTTGCCAAAAGGAAGCTTGAAAGGATCCCCACTAATTAGTTGCAGGGGGGCCTAGTTCTGACAAACTGGCAAGTTGCTCCTCTCTGTACAAACGACCGGCACAGCCCCTATGGCCGGCGCAATGTTGGCTCTTCCGCTGCTTCGCGGCCAACCTTGATCACATAGACTATGTGAGTCTGCCACAACTGGACCACCAATCATCACGCCCCATCTTAACAAACCATCGCCACCAAGACGTGGGGTCCAATTACCCGCATGCATCTTGGTGAGCTTTTGGATTGCTGCCAAGTAACCTTGTTCATCAGCAAGAAATCGAGCGCCGCCTTTCCGCACCACACCGCCCACACGACCGCCCGCGCGCGTACACTTGCACACCCGCCCTTTGGTCAGGCATGCTGCCTGCGATGTCGTGGAGGACCACTTATCCCCATACTCAATGATCACCACGGCAATCCTCAGACTTCTGCAGCAAAAGCTGCCTCTGTTAGCTGGGAACCGCACCTTCCAGCTGCCAAAGCGGCTTTCGCGCCCTCCAGCACCCGCCACTCGTCGCCCTCCACGTCCACCTGACATTGCAAAGCCCAACCTCCGGGCACAAAGCGCCAAAAAAACGGCCTTGAGAAGGTCCAGGGTGGAGTGTCCCAGCAAGGCATCAACCTCAGGCCATAGGAACTCACTTGCAAAGCACTGGGCTGGGCATTGAGGCAGGCTCCGTCGTGACCTCCACCGTCTCCCATGTCTTGACATCCTGTCAGACGAACTTTCGATCGCGACGTGACCTCTGCGCCCCTGTCCTGGCATTCCTCCAGGCTGAGCCAATGCCCACCTGAAACCGAAGCCAAAAAAGTGGGGCCGAAGAGTCCTTCGGGTGGACAGACGACAGGTGTCGCTCCAGGTCTTCAGGGGTCACTCGATCGAAACAGAGTCGAACTCCAGCCAAATCGAACGCAGATCCCAAGCGAACCGCAGCAATCCGACTCTGAGGGCAGGCCCCGGGCCCCCGGGCCCCCGCCCCCAAAGCATTTGGCTGGCCGAATTTCAAGGCGCCGTTTTGCTCTTCCACTCTTCGGCTTCCATGCCTATGGGAAACAAATCAGCAGCAGCAAGCATCCTTCTGCTTCTTTGGTGACGCAGGCCCCGTGCAGAACGGATCAGACACAATCGTCTCAAAAGGATTGGAAGCGCCATAGTTGTCCTGCAAAGAAGCGGCATACCGCCAAAATTTCGGCCACTTCTTCATGTGAGGCAACGCTGTTGCGATTTGTTGACACCAGCCTGTCCTGATACTTCCTCTCTGCCATGAATCCAGCCGCACTGATGTTCTTCAGGAAGGGATTCGACTCGGGATCATACCCATCGAAGGTCCTGCAGACAGCCAACGTGGCCGGCTGGCTGACATGTCTTTTCCCGCTCGTAAAGCCCACGGGGGAAAGAGAACTATCCAATTTGAAAGGCAACTGATACCTATGACCCGAAGAAACGGATTGCTCCTCGCAGACAGGGTGTTCGTGACCGATACTCTGGCGGGGTTGGCCAAAACTAGATTCGTGGCCTCTCGCGTCTTCACCACACCCCCATTGAGCCCGAATCCGATTTCTGCCTCACTCAGAGGTGATGTGATGGAAACCTTGTCTGGCAAAGCTTGGCGCAGTAGCAAGCGAGCAGCAAGTGTTCCATTCGGGGTCGGCACACACTGTAGCATTTCGCCACGCGCGAATGGGATCATAACAGTTGTGCGGCGGAAAGGTGGGATAAAGTCAAGGCACAAATTTGCCCTTCAACCTGCTTAGCCCAGGTTGGACCTAGCCCCGACTTACAAGTCTAGATCAACCACCACCAAAATGGCCTTCCAAAACAGCGTGACTGTTGAAGGATGCTCCGAATGCAAGGCGCAAGGCTTAGGCGTCCTTCCCAAAGGGTCGAAGTCAGCCAAGGGCTTCTCACCGTGGCTGATCCTTGCCCGAACCAGACACCGGAAGAAGGAAATAAGAGAATGGCCTCTTGGGGTTCCATGACTCAGTTGGTTACCCGAAAGGTGGGACAGAAAGTGCCAAACAACGGGGGCAGCTTTGCCCACGGTTTTGCGAACTGGACCCAGGCGCTTGTAGTCCCGGTAGAGGTGCCATGCGAACAAAGCTCCAAGGAGCTCCGTGCAAGGAGTGCCGATGCCTCAGCTCCGTTTCTGGCGCGGGTGTCGGGCGTGAGCCGCGCGCGTGACGAGAAACGCATGAGCCAACGTGGGCTCCTCTCAGCCCGTGCCAGGGTGCGTACGCAGGTGGACAGCCACTCTAGCTTCACCAGCCCGGTCGCCACCGGGATGATGAAGCCCAAAGTGTCAAGCAGCGTGCCAAGGGCGCAGGCGGTGCCCCAAGAGGAGATATAGGTGATATTCATCTCCTGCGGGTACGGCCAACATTGCGCATGGTCAGACGCAAGGACCCTCTCCACCCCCCAACCCCCCCGCCAAAAAACACGATGTACTATTGGGAAATCTTCGCCAGGTGGCGTGATACCAGGCGTAGTAGCCCAGGCCGCTGAGCAAAACCATCCACAGGAGGCCCAAGAGGTCAAGCAGAACGATCCCGCGCAGGGCGCAGGCGGCCACCTGCGGCCGATCCGGGGATCACGAGCCGATCCAAACCGCACTGGCCAGCTGTCAGCGTTTTCCCGGCGCCCGGAGCCTGCAGAACCAGGATCAAATGCATCCAGTGCTGAACAGCTTTGGCCTGTGCGCGAAGTGAGACGAGACTCAAGCCCAGGCTAAGAACTTGTTGGGGCGCAGTACTTCCATACCCAATGAGTGCAGGCAAGCCAGAACGCAGGCTTACAAAAACACGTCAAGCACGTACTTGAGGCGAGACACATACTGCGATGGCCCACCAACTTGCATGGGGAAGTAGCCGGCCAGTCCGGCCAATGCGGCATAGTCGCCTTGTGATGCACTGCACCGACCGGGAGTTCGCCAAATACGCGGTACCCTGAAAATCACGCTCTCCGCTTACCTCCCCTCCCTTTGTCACCATGAACAAAAATGCCCCATAACAATGATACTGATCATGATAAGCCCTACTCATGATAAAGGTAATGACAATGTTGACTAATGAATTGATGATGATGATGATGATGATGATGATGATGATGATGATGATGATGATGATGATGATGATGATGATGTTGACTAATGAATTGATGATGATGATGATGATGATGATGATGATGATGATGATGATGATGATGATGATGATGTTGATGATGATGATGATGATGATGATGATGATGATGATGATGATGATATTGGCCACAAACCAACTTAGCTAACTCCCGCCCCATCAGCAGTGCTAGGCCCCCACACCTGGCGTCTCCGGCACCTTTGAACCGCCGGTTCCCATGAGGCGAGACTTCAATGGATCGGGGGGCTGTGCCGATCTTTGGGCCGAAACAGCTCGGCTTGGAGTGCGGCCCATGCATCATATGCACTTGTGACACGCCCCCTGCGAATAGGTCATGGAGTGTGAGGGCCTGATCTAGAAACGGCTTGGATGCGCTCTTTGCGGGTTTTATCTGCTCTTTTTCTGTAGGTGCTGTTTTAGTACTCTTTTGGTACTCTTTTAATATCCTGCAGGAGTGGATCCACGAAAAACCGCATCCAAACCGTTTCCTAGACCTGATGCGACTTGCAACTAAGTTGAGACAAGCCACAGCCCCGTGTACCCAGAGATCCGGTAACCTGGCCACCGCGGTTGAAGCTGGCCCGGCCGGTGGTGTTGGACACTGCCAGCCGCTCCAGCCTCAGCATCGAAGCGCTGCTGTTGGCAGCGGCTCGGAGTCGTTGGAACCCCGCTGCAGAGGCCTCGAAGGCACGCGTGGCCAGGCCGAACTTGTGGCAGATCGCCCAGACATCCTGCTCCCCACGACCACGTTCGTCCGGCCAAGGCGCCGCCCCCACGTCCCAGCAGCTGCCCATCTCTGAGACGATTCGCTGGAGGAAGGGGTCGATTGGACTGGACGTGCCAGTAAACTCTCTCCGCAAGTGCTGCAAGAAATAGAGCGCAGGTCCGTGCCCCGGCGCGGCCTGCTGGAAGATGTGATCCTCGCCGTGCCTGGACAACGTCGACCAAAGTGCCGTGGATCCAGGTGCGAAAAAGTAGCCCAGCAAGGTCCTGTCAGGTGGGCCCGCCAAACTGGCGAAGATGTCTTGAACTTGTCGCTGCACTCCATCCAGGTCGTCCAGCTGCAGTCGTGGCAGCCTTTGCCACACGTCCAGCGCGTGGCGGAAAGGGTACACGTGCTTCGACAGGCGGCCCAGCAGACCAAAAATCGGCCAGCCGGAACGGACCACTTCCGGCCATGAAGTCAGAAACACGGCCTCGCGCAGCAAGTGTTCGATCCACGCCGCGGCGGCCGCCACTTGCGAGTGCTGAGGCAGCGTAGGGATGACCTCCAGCAAAAACAGGCGGTTTGCGAGCAGTCCCATGGGACAGTCCTGCACTGCATCCTCTCTTGCTTCCAGGGCCAGAGACAGCTGCAGCAGAGGCCGCGCCTGCATGGACACCTCGATGCCAGCCCCGCGCACGCGGTCCCAGAGCGCCTTCTTCGAGATCTGCCACCCCGACAGATGCGTGTCCCCCGCCTCGCAAGCCTCTGACCAAGGCAGCCAAAGCAAGCATGCCTTGCGCATGCCTCAGGTCGAATGTGTGCCGCTCGCATCCTCTAAATCAGCAAGTTTGGCAGCAGGACGCCCAGGCATCCGGCACGACAGCTGAAGGAAGTCAAGGCTACGCATGCAGTTGGCAAAATTCACATGACATTTGCTATGTTTCACCTTATCACATCTGGGCTGCCCTCAGATCCCCCCCTAAAAGTCTAACTTTTATTGGGTTAAAATGGAAACTGCCACTAAACACTAAAAAGCTAAAAGGCTAAGCGGATGGCTGGGAGCCACCAAGACATGCAGCTCAACTGTAGGTTTGGCCAAACCGCTGGGGCCACACGGCGAACACGACAGGTTCGGCGGAACATGGACACATGGCAGAAAACCTCTGGCATGCTCCAGTATTGCAAGTTTGAAAGTTTGACTCTGCTTCCAAATGCTGAACTAAGAATTGGATCTCCAAGTAAAGTGGACCCTCATGGCTCCTTATACCCCCAAATCGGTGAGCCCTGCTGCACTTCCTGGTGCCCCGCAATGGGAAACACCAGCACGGCGGCCACGAGACCACTGGCACCCCATGCCCTCTCCACCTGGGCAAACAAAGCCGAAACTGCTTGCCTCGAGCGTCCATCCTGACAATGAGTTGGGTAGTGTATATTATATACCTGTAGGTTATATACAAATATATGTCGAGAGAAAACTAAAAGTAGACATATTCAGTAGACATATTCAGTAGACAAATATATCCACCCAAACAGCACCCCAAAGCGCCCAATTGTCAATCTTGCAAAAATGCGCCCGCACCGTCACCTGCATGCACGCGAGCACCCGGCCGTCAATCTCACCAGCACTTCAAACAGCGCCCCAAACAGCGAGCGCCCCAAACTGCACGCCCCCTAGCACCAGCCCATCAATCTCGCAAATCACTTTCCCCTCTTTACTAGAAGTTAGAATCCCTATAGCTTTCAGCTATCTGGGGAATATATATATATATATATATGTGCCCCAAACTCAAGTTCAAGACCCAAAATATCCCAAAATAGTTGTCCCTCATGCCCCCCCCAAACTCAAGTTCAAGCCCCAAAACGGGCTTGAGGAAGTCCCCCCGCAAACATGGGACCGAAATCCCCCGGGTCGTGGCCTTGATCGCTAGCAGCGAATGCTGCAGCACCGCAAGGGCCTGGCAGAGCAACTGGCCGAGGCGCAGCAGAATCGACCGAAGTTCGCGCCTTTGGACGAAGGGCGGGAAGCCAAGCGCAAACCAACGGATTGGAAGCGGGGACGAACCTCTTGAAGTTGACGTTGGGTTTGGGGAGCAAACATTTTTTTGTTTTAAGTTAAGTGGATTTGGATTTCAACCACTAGACCACAATAAGCAAAAATGTAAAATGCTCCCCAACAACAACCATGATTCAACGGGGACGGACATCGGCTTGAGAAACACCTGTCCGACATCGGGTGGGCCCATGTGGGCCCCCCACCCCCCTAAAAAGACCATGGGCTTGTTCCTCGTGCTTGTTTTCAAGCCGAAAACAAAAGTCAACAAGAAACTAACGAAAATCCCTCCGCGAAATGACTCGGCTCAAATTGCCTAAGCCTACACTCCGCCGATCATGTCGATCGGCGCTGTGTTCGTTTGCACAGCTCCCAGCAGGAGATGGTCCCTTCTCATGCCACTCGCTCGCTGGGCCGATTGCGACTGCATTCAGACGAGGACTGGCCGATCGCTGAGAAGAGAACGCGCCTCTGTGGCAAAAATGGCCACGATGAAAATGCCGGCCTTGGGACACGAGAAGCTCCACTTGCCAATGGCCTTCGAACATGGCGCTTTGGGGTCAACTTCTAAGCCGCCAGTGACGGCGCTGAATCCTTGTCTCAAGCCTATGTTCGAGTGCCTGGCTCGTCGCACTCGAGTCAGCTTCAAATGAAAATAGTTCCAGCCCACCACCAAGTGGTTTCTCCTGGCCGAATCCCGGACACTTTGCTTCACGCACCGCCTCACGCGCCTCATGGACTGGAAAATGGTACCCAGCACCTTCTCCTTCGGATCTTCCCGGTCCTTAGGCGTCCAATGTCGCTGAACGCACAAAAGGCCCCCGGGTTCTGCAAGCTTTCAACCCTCTGGCAATGCTCCCAAAGTCAATCGCCTCTAGGCCCAGCGCAATCACCTGCGATGGCAGGCTGTCCAAGGGGGTGACCTGCGGCTCGAAAACGCGCTGCCAGGCAGGCACTACAAAAACAAGCGCCTTGTTGGCTGCGTCGTGCTCATCGACGTACACTGAAACCATGACCTGCACGTGGGCGCTCGAAGGTTTTGATGTCTTTCCAACACTTCTCAGGCCCCAAACAACGAATTGGCCACCACCCGCCCCCATCCCGCCCCCTTGGGTCCGGGCAAATCCAGCGCATGCAACCAGCAGAAGCGTCTCAGTTGGCATATCGCTGAGGGCCACACATACATTCCCACACATTCCCACACATTCCTACACACACGCACACATGCACTTTTACAGGCATTCACAGCGGCGGAATGCTGGTTAGGGCGCAGGCGGCCGTGACCACATTTGCTGATGTTGTGTAGGTATCTTCGTACTGACCTGGCAAGAGTTGAGGCCTTGTCCGTGGCGCACCACGCTCACCAGGGCTCTCGCTGAGGAATTCTCCAGGTGACTGGGCTACCACTTCGAGCCTGAGCGATGCAGCTCGCGCTGGGCTTCGCTGCGTGGCTCGCCAGCCACCGGCACATTGGGATGCAGGCTGGGATGCAAGGTCATCTGCCAGAACCACAAAATGGTCGGTGTGCATGGTGATGCAAGAATCCTGCAGGAAGTGCAGGTGTTTTAGAGCAGGCCACCCAACCACTCCCTCTCTTTCCCCTCTCTACCTCCAGTGCTATCCTTCTGTTCTGGAGCTCCGGTGGCCTGATCTCCTCTGCGCTTCTGTTTGACCATTCTGGGATGCTTGCGTCACCATGCTCTTGATCTCTGCCCTGACTCTTTTCAAAATGATTGCTGCATTTTCCTGGGCCTTGCTCTTCAAGAGGGCCCGTTCTTGTCACGTGCTCAGCGGACTTGGCAAAGGGGGCGCGTGGGGCACTCCACACTAAACAGCAAACAAAATCCGGCGTTAGGCAGCGCAAACGCCACACCGCGCAAATTCAAGGGTCCCAACCAACCAACCAACCAACCACTCAACCACCCACCTGCCCAACCAACCAACCAACCAACCAACCAACCAACCAACCAACCAACCAACCAACCAACCAAAAAACCAACCCACCCTCCCACCCACCCACCCACCAACCCACCATCCCACCAACCCAAACCTACCAACCCCCCAAACCAGCCAAAGGCCGCCTGTTTTCGCCCCTGTGACCCCATCCTCCCCTCCCCCCCCCCCCGCCGCCCAAGCACGCCTCGCTGAAAACAGAGCCGCGCGCGTCGAAGTCGGCGTTCGAGAAGTTGCCAGCCCCCAGGTCCACCCAGAAGCAGGTGGACGGGAACCTCAGCTTCCCCCCACTTCAGCCTCCCTCGACGTCCACCCCGCAGCCAAGCAAAGCTCCACAAGTGGCAGGATTCAGCGAAGAGTCATTTGAAAGTTAGTTAGAGGTCTGTTCGAATGAACGCGTTATATCCAACCGTCAAACAACGGTACATTGCGTCATCCCTGCAAGGAAGCACGGCATCAAAGGAACAACACAACCAACTGGGCCCCGGACAGCACATTCCCAAAGCTGCCAGCATCATACCTCACCCAATACTTAGCTGGGCTTCCCTCAAGTCCCCCGCTAAAAGTTCAACTTTTAGTGGGTTAAATGGAAACTACCACTAAGCACTAACAAGCTAAAAGGCTAAGGGGATGGCTGGGAGCCACCAAGTTAGTACTTGCACTCCCTTTGTCTCATGGATCTGCTGTTTTCTCTCTGCAATGGTGTGTGGTGCATGGGTCACGCCGCGATCTTGGGAAGCATCGAGTAGCTGATGTTGACGAGGGACCTGCTTGCTTCATCTTGCAGCCGGTCGAAGGCATGATAGGCAGAATTGTTTGCTTTTGCAAGCGGTCGAAAGCAATTCTGCCGCAGGGCTTGAGTCTGGCAGCACTGACTCTCAAGCTCCCCAGCCTCTCAATCAAGTCGCCATTGCCAGCCTGACATCAATGCATCACATCTCTTGGCCATATCTCGCAGTTAAGCCCGCAAGGCAAGCTGTTAGTCCAAGGGCTTCAGACAGCAAGGTTTCCAAAGACTGTCCGGGCCAATAGCGCACAGCTGCCAAAGCTGTGCAAGAAATCGACATGAGTGGCGGGTGTGTTCTTGAGAGTCCAGGCAAAGCACGATCAAGCCACCCTCACATTCAATCCTCCGTGAGCCCCCTTGACGCAATCGCCTCATCCGTGATGATGAGAGACATGGCATGCCACAGCCTGGCGCTATGCGAACGGCGTTGGCTGAAAAAATGAAGCGCTTGCACGCATGCAATTGGCTTGTCTTGATCTGCTGGCATCCGGTGGCTGTTCCCCCCCTTGATTCGGGGCCGGCCTCTCGCTGGGCGAGACATCTTGCGTTGGCCTCGCGAATGGAAGCACTCCGCTCGATGGTCGCTCGCTGCGGTGCTCCGCGCTGAGGTGCAAACACCAAAGTC